GGGGTCTTTTGACAAGCACGAGCAGCAAGATCTAAGATGGAGGGGAGGGGGGCGAGGCTTTACCTAGTTGTTCTTTTTTTTTCCTGGCTGTCTGTCCTCTTCTGCGATTCAAATCCCGGTGCGTCGTCGTCACAGTGGGCTCCCACGCGTTGGGGGGCGTTTTTTTCCCCTTCGGTCCCTCTGCTTTCTTTCTTGCGCGTTGCTTTTTTTTTGCTCTGCGTTCTGGCATGGATTTGCGATGGGATGGGATTTATTATGGGCTGGGCTTCAGAATGGGGGCCGTGGCCGGCAATTTTTGATCAATTGCGCTTCCTCACGTCCAATTCGCTGGAGCCCGGGCAGGGGGGTCGTTCCCTTTACGCACTGTGTGCTGCGTCGGCACTGCCCCCCAGCTCTGCTGCCTGCCCGCGCTGCTTGTGCTTTGCCGTACCTCCAGGTAGAAGGGTACGCAGAGGCACTAGCAGCGGTACTTGGGCGGCGCGGTATCTGTACTTTATTTGCACTAGCACCTCCCATGTTTCCGGCAGTTTTGGGCCCTGGAAAAAAAAACCAAACGATCGTGACACATCGTGGCAGCACAAACAGAGTTTAACCGCCATCGCGCTGGACCCTGTCGCTGCTCAAGGCAAGGCCGCTGGGTCTGGGTCGCACGGGGGGTTGAGCCCAGCAGCAGCTCAGATGCGCTCCCAGCTCCTGTTCAGCCCTATCCGCCAGCCGCATCGAAAAGGCCGCATCCCCCAAGAATCCTTCAGCGTCACGCATCCGGGCGGCCGTGGACGTAGCACGAACTGCTTCGCGCACGCCGTACTTGTTACGTGCTCTGCGTGTTCCCTTCGGGAGTCTGTAACGGGTACCTGGGCCGCGAGGTACTGGCCGCCGTACCGCGGTACCTTTGGGCGACAAACTCTCACGCTTGTTCCAGCGCTGCGCCGTCATCATACCAACAGCGTGCCAAGTATAGTACATGCCAGACCTTCTCTCTTGTGCTCCCTTGCTCCCTGCCTCTTTGCTTCCCACGGGCTCCGATACTCTGCATTTCAAATCCCCCAGCGCCATCCGCCGTCAAATCACCGCCTCCAGAACGCCCTTTCGCCCCGGCGGCCCCTAAAAAAACCCGCTACTCGCTCGGCACCTGTGGGCGCTTTGCTGGAAAAGCAGCCAATGCATGGATGGCGGCATGGGATTGGGCGGGCGCTCACGTAAGTTTTTTTTTGGTGTTCGTCCCTAGACAGGCTGACATCACATGGCGCAGGCGCAGAGTGGCCGGCGCCCCCAGGACACAGTGCCAAAAACTGTCGCGCGAGTCTTGACTTTAGAAAGCGGGACTGGCGTTGAAACGGGTTGGTCACCTGCTGAGATCCAAATTTTGCAAACAAGCAGAAGTATGCCAAATTGGAATTCTGCCGCTTGGGTTTTACGATCCAAGGGAGCGCGACCCTGGCCCAGCAAGCAGCAGCAGCATGCCACCGCGGTGGATCGCACAGCTGAGATGAGATGCCTGCCATGTTTCATCTCTCTCTGTATACTACGCGCTACTGCTATTAAAAGGCTGCTTGGTAAACACGTACTGTAGGTACTCCGCGCCACTAGATAGCAAAAACGCCAGTTTTCTCCCTTGACAATGACATGGGACTTGTCGGGCTTGGCCACACGGCCCGTCAGCATCCAGACCATGTACGGGCACAGCCACTGCCGTCACTTTGTTTGCATTGTTTGCTGCAGCATCTCTCACCTTGACAACGTTTCGTTTGTAATAAATCAGCGATAAAAGTGGTGAATGGCGTAGGTGCAAACAGAATGAAAAGATGAAATCCAGAAAGAGAAAAAAGAACGAAACGTAAGACAATATGAAAAGCAAGACGAGAAAAAGATAAATAAAAAAAACAGGCGCATGTATAACGGACGAGGTATGAATTTCATTTCTCTCGACAGCAACTCATACGTCACCTCCATCCCTTGCCGCTGGGTCATGCCCAATGTCTACCCAACGCTGTGCAAATCATCTTCTGCTGTCTGAATGCATGCAGCCCAATTGCCGCCCCGTAAATATTGGACTACTACTGTACTCTCTCAGTGTATATCAAATCATCATACCAATCTCATCGTGGTCAAAAAAGTTTCCAAAATGCGCCTCGCCTGTTTCTCGCTCGCTTATGGCATGTCTAAACATTATTTAAATGACCCATGCAAAAAAAAAAAAAAAAAAAAAAAAAAAAGGAAAAGGAAAAGGAAAAGGGAAAAAAAAAACCGCCGGCTGAGAGGGTATGAAACATCCATCTATAAAGACAAAAAAAAAGGGAGATCAAAGCAAAACAAGACAAGGAGCAGGGCGATGACAGCGGTAGAGATCACACATATACAGGCGTATACAAGTATGGATCATCAATCACCACCACCGTCCGACGGACGTTTCCTCTTACGCGGCCGCTTGCCCTGGTTCCCCTCGCCATCGACAAAGTGTCCCTTTTCGATCTGGTGCTGTCGTAGGTTATCCGCGCGTTTGCTGTACTGGCTCGTGCAGCCGGGATACGGGCATCGGAATATCTGCGGGTTCTCGCTGTGTATCGTCTTCATATGCTTGGCCATGCTGCCCACAAACCACCTAGGATCGCCCTTGGGCCGGTAGCCGCATATCTCGCAGCAGCTGTCAGACTCGACCTTTGCCGTTGCCGTTGCTGCTGCTGCTGCTGCTGCTGTTGCTGTCGCTGAAGGCGGCTCTGTTGCTGGGGCATTCGGCGATATCAGCGGATCTTCCATGCCCAGAGGCGCTGCAGGCGTAGCTGCAAACGCTGCTGACTCGACCGTTGGCTCCGACGTCCACTCTGCCGCGCCCATGAGTGGGGCCCCAGCCGCAGACGCCGACTCAGGCATATCAACATCGACCTCTGGGTTGAAATTCACCATGGACTCAAAATCGAAGCCGTACATGATGGTATCGAGTGCTTCCGTGGAAAGGCCGGATGCTTCTACCCCTGTCCGAACAGGCACAACTTCAGAGTTTCTGCCAGGCTCACTAATAAGCGATTTCATGAGTTGGATGCCGCATCGATGATAAGTTGACCGAGAGCAGGAAAATGGTCTTTGCGCGTATAGCTGATCGGTATTCTGTCGAATCACTTCGATGAACTCGTCAAAGTACACATCGGACGGGAGATAGGTCTAGATGTTTGCATCTCATGTTAGCCCCCCCCATGTATACATGTGTGCTTTTTTTGGAAATAAAAAGTGGCCCTTTTTTTCTTACCTTCCCGGCTTGCATCAGCTCCAGCTCCAGCCGCCGCACGGTTCCCACTCCACCAGAGTTGACCTGGCCAATAAGTTGATCCATGCCAAGTTCAGATCCTGGGAAATGAGAATATTCATGAGAAAAGATATTTTCAATCATGAATCTAGCGGCAATGGCAAACGGAGAATCGGCACTCGCTGCAAGGCTGTCCTTGTAGTGCTGGTCGGCAAGTTCAGAGGGCTGTGTTCTATAGCTGCGTTCACGTAGCGTTTCGTACTCGAGCTCTACAGTTTTCAAGGGTTAGCCTCCCAAGTAGAAGTCAGAAGAATTAGAGAGTGACAATGTCAACAAGGTCAAGTGAGCGTACCATCCAAAAAATATGCCGCGAGCAATACCAACGGATCAGACCTTAATCCATGCAGAGAATATTCCGGTTGCTTGCCCTTTGAGTCCGGGATGGGTGGGCTTGATTGCAATAGTTGGATGATCTCGGCGTTGTCTACTTCACTGTGCTCCCAAAGGGTGATGACGACTTCAATAAACAATGTCCGCTCAGGTTCTGAGAACCAGCTGCTATACAAAAGTGCCTGCTTGAAGAGAGCGGCAGCATGTTTTGAGGCGTCGTGTTCATGGATCACCAGAGACAGAGAGAAGACGATGTGGACAAAGCATAAGAGATCCAGAGGTGTTGCATTTTGGCGGCCTTCTATGACGTCTGCCATTGTTTCCAGACCGGCTGCCGCGACAGAGGAGAGAGACATCTGACATAGCTTCTTCACCAGAGCATTCTGGTTGATAGTCTCGAGTTTGTTCCTAGAGTCGGCAATGTGCATCCGTAGTGCGTCTTGGACTGAGCTGGCGAGAGACTGCGAGTACCTAATAGTTGGAAGGCCAGAAGAGGAGGTATTGTGTAGCAGAGCTGGCTCAGAAGTCTGTTGTTGTGACGACGGCGGTGGGGGTGGTGATAGTTGTGATGTTGGGGCAAGGTTGATGGAGTTGGTTGAGGGTAACGGAGGTCCAATCGGCATTTGGAATGGTATATCGGTGTTGAATGAAAAGGCAGATTGGTCCAGGCTCATGTGAGCTTGAGTCTTTTGAGGATCCATGGTGGTGGGAATGTCATCAAACATGGGAATGTCGGCAGGAAGCTCTGACGGACACGAGTTGGCAACCATGTTTTCAAACTCTGAGTTGCTAAAGGGAATAGGTCTTGTCGAGATGGTATTAGTAGTAGAAGTAGTAAAGGGACCCGAGGGCAGGAGGCTCTGAGGACTAATGAGGTCGTCAGGTGACGTCAAGGCTGACTCGAAGCCGGATGTCTTTGTCCATCCACTGGACCAGCCCGACATGGGCGAGATGTTATAGCTGGCGGTGCTATTGGTGCTATCGGTGCTGTCTGTGCTGGCGGTCGACCGGACAGAAGAGCTCGGGGCCAGCACCTTGCTTCGACGGCTGGCCTGAGGACCTCGAAACTGGTCCAGGTGTGTGTTGACCTGCAGTGTTGGACGATCAACCAACCTTGCATTCATGGGCTTCATGAGGCTTTGTGGCGCCACAGTTGGGGGAGATGGTGGTGACGGCCTCCAATTTATGAAATCTGCTTCCATAGTCGACGGCAGCGGTACGGCTCCCGGGTGGGAGCCTGGTGGTGAGATGGGGAATGTGGATGGGGGGAGACAGGGGACCATCCCAGGGGCGGGTATAGCCTCTGTCTCGGTCTCACACTCCGGGATAGTGGGGAGCAGCACCTCGCTCGAACCGATCTCATGTATCTCGGTCGAGAAGAGCTCGGCCTGCGGAGGCAGAGGCATAGGCGTAGCGGGCGTGAAGACGGACTCGTAGCTCGGAGGCTCTTGCTCGTCCTCGCCCCCACTGCTGCCGCCGCTGCTGGCCACTGTGCCTGTGCCTGTGCCTATCCCCATGGAGGCGGCCAGAGCAAGGCCCTGAGACTTTGGCTTGTGGCCCAACGAGCTGAAGAAGCTCTTTGCCATGGTCACAATCTTCCTCCTCTTGGACGGGTGCCCCAGACAGCGTCTGCACTTGACATCGCTGAGCTGCTCGGGCTTCTCGCAGTCGTAGCACCAGTACTCCCCCCCGGCGAGGTGGTCGCATGAATAAAGGTGTTGGAGCATCAGCTCATGGTTGGGGAATCTCTTCCGGCAACGAAGCAGCGGGCACTCCCGCCGCTCCTCTGGGGTCATCTTCTGGCAGGCATTGCGTTTGACGGCCGCCCATACAATGAATCTGTGCAAGGCACACTCGTCGCCCGAAGTATTGCGTGAGCTTCACAGCGACTGTCAGCATATAACACCATGGGGAAGTAAGGGGGGAAATAGGGAGTCATGAAAAAGAGAAATACAGGAAAAAAAAATAGCCAATATGTAAAAAAAGATGTATTCTCCTCATGACGCAGGAGCACTCTTCACTTACACACACGAAGTCGGCATCTCGTCGTCGACGGACGAAGTCACTGAGGATGCTGAACAGCTGCTGCGGGAAGCAATTGTCGACGTCCGCCTTGGACCCAAACGACCGCCGGTTGGGCTACGGACCAGACGCCGTAGGGCTAAGGCGCCGGCGACGCCAGGGTCGTCGACCTTCTTGTTTTCCATGGCGGTCTGAAAGGCCTATGCCCTGGACCAGGTTCTTTCGTCGTAGGTATGGTTATGGGGCAAAAGTGAAAAAAAGAGGTCACCAAAACAAGGCCCCCTTCGTTGTGTGTGGAGATGCTATTCTCTGGTAAGGGGAAAGCAGGAACAAGACAAAACAAAAAAAGAAAACTGTGGCAAAAAAATGTAAGAAAGTCAGAGTAAAAGGAACGACCACCTTCAGGCACCGTCCATGGTGTTTTTGTTTCCTTGTCTAATCGCAATAGGCGTGTTGAGCTGGGCTGGAGCCTTGGAGGCTGTCCTACGGCAGCGAATGAGACGAAGATGTCTAGGACTTTGCCGGGCGACTAAAGTAGGACTCGGGGCAGGGGTATCCCTTTTCTGGTGTGTGACCGCGGCTGATGCAGCGTCTGGCTCGATTCTTGCAGTTGGCCCTCTGGGCGAGGCGACAGCGAGAGGGCATGGAGGGGGGGGAGAATCCCTCGTGCCCCCCAATGGGCAGAATGGGCCTATTCGCGGTGGTCTGCCAGGCTGATCCCTGCGCCAGTGCTCCCCAAAATCGGCGGCCCCCCAGACTGTGGCTGGAGCACGCTGAGCATTATGCGTTAAAGAGGCCTACCTGGTACCCGTGGACCTCTGTTGGTTTCCAGTAGCCGCTACGAAGACATGGTGTAACGGAACTGCGCTGTACTGTAGTCAGCCGGCATCACGGGCGTCTGCTGGCCTCGGAGTACCGCGATGCTGAGATGAGGGAGCCCGCGAGGCGTCTTTTGCGCCATCAGTCTGGTTAGTGCCAGCCTAGGTAGGTATTGCCAGTAACGGGCTCGTATGTCTCTTGTGTGAGTGTGTAGGTGAGCAGCACCAAAACAAGACGCAGCGCCATAAGCTGCTAATCGACGCTCAACACTGCTAGCAGCGGTAGTGCCATCAGATCGCGACGCCAAAAGGGCAATCCCGTGAGCACCATCTGGGCCTAGGCTAACCGACGCTACTGCGCCACATCCAGGCACAAAACAGAGATAAAGCTGAGGCGCAGAGCGGCGCTAGTATCTGACCATGATGAATGATGAACCAAGGCAAGGGAAAAGCAGGAATAATCGTCAACAATGACGTTTGTAATTGGCTTCCTCTTGTCTTTTTTTCTCAGCCCGTTTTCGTTCGTGGTTCGTCTCAGGTTCGATCACGATCTCCCTCTCTGCCCTGCCTCTATTTTTTTTTCTCCGTGCAGGGGATTCATTCTCCCCATCATCTTCCACGAGAGAAGCAACTCTCTCAAGAGACTGGACCCATTTTAAGAGCCTCTTCCGGCTCCCAGCTCCCCACTCCCTCTCGCCCATTGCATTGACCTTCTGGCCGGCCACCGCCAAAACCTGACCTGAAGCCGTGACCGCTCTTCGGCAGCTGATATCGACGCCCGGCGCCCCTTATCATCTCTGCCCAAGTCATACAAATCGTACATGTAGGCACAAAACGAATGCATCGTGCTCCCTACACATGCATAGGTATTACATGCTTTGGCGTAGCATTTTGTTGGCATCCATGTGGTGAAGCCACGTCAACTCTTCTAAGTGGGGGAAGCATTGGATGATTTTGCTGTTGATTGCCGCAGGGACAAGCTAGTATTGGCCTATTGCCTATTCCAGACAGCAACATGCACCTGTATTGTAATCCTGGAAAAGTGCCGCCCAACGATGCTGAATTCTTGGGCTTTCTCTTCTCTTCTCCTCTCCTCTCCTCTTCCCCCCCTCTCAACTACCGTCCAACAGCAAAAGACAACAAGAAGAAAAGCTTGTTCCGGCACACCCACCTTCTCGCCCTCGTTCCTGGCCCGGTACCACCGAAACACACAACAATAAATCCTTCTCGCGTCCCCTCGCACCACTCAAGGCGTCCTCAACCCCCCCTAACAGGTCCTACCTAATCGTAGCATGTACTAGGTAATCGTAGTACTACTGCTTCGTGAGTGGCGAGCGTGATAAACTACATGCAAGCATTCTCCATAGGCCAAGCAAGCCACATGCCGCGAAGAGAGAATTAAAAAAATAAACCCTACCGTTGCTCGTGCGGCTGTTTGTTTGGCGCCAGGGATAAATAATCCTAATCGCGCTCCACGGTCCTCCAGTGGCCACTTCAAGGCAACTTACACGGCCCTACAAGGCTGACTCGCCCTCCCTAGTCTCAGCTCGGTTCCGTAAGACGCCGAACCATGCCTGTCTCAGTTACATGCATGCCATAACAGAGCAATTCCTAGGCTTGGACTATTTTTTGAGCTATCCAGTCAGTTTTCGGCAAGTAAACCACCACCACTACGCCGGATTGGATGCCTCTTGCAGCGAGATCCTTCTGCAGGTGGTCGATTTCGAGCAGTCCCGGCTACTTTACTCGATTCATCTCGCGTGTCAGCAGTGGCGACATGTCGCCTTGACATTTTCGTTTCTTGTGATAACATCGTTTTAGAACTAGTAGAAGAACCATGTAGTGATCAATTCTCTTTTAGAAGTGTCTTTTGCAATAGTTGACAGAGCTTTTTTTAGGCTTTTTTTAGGCATACAAGGAAGGCATGTAGTGAATTCAACAACTCGCTGTGACACAATGATGACAATGATAATAATAGGAAAAAAAATACCCAAAACCCCTCATGGCAAACAAGTTGTGATATCCCAACACAGTGGGGGAATTTCTCCCTCTCGACCCCGCCGCCATACTCCGTAATCTATATGTACGTAAAGGAAAAATACTTTGACAAAAAAGAGGGCTATAACATGTAATATGATGCCGTAATGTGTGTGGTGTGAGTGTATGTGTGACCTGACAAAGAGAAGAGAAAAAAGAGAGAATGAAACTGACAAGTGCGTCCTTCTTTACAAAGTAGGTTCGCTTGCTTGCTTGCTTGCTTGCTTGCTTGCTTGTTGTTGGTTAAGCTACAGCAGCTTGCTTTTCGCCATGACTTCTCTCAATACTTTGAGCTTGTCCTCTGTAACTCGGATGGCCTCTTGGATTTCCCGCTCGTCCATCCGCTCCTCTCTCACCCTCTCCTGCAATGTCCTCGGATCTGCTTCTCGCTTGCGCGCGTTTGTCCTTTCCACCGAAAGGCGCTCCAGGCTTACGCGCTCTTCTAGCCACCCCCAAAGTTCACTATCCTCTCTGCGCCACATCTCGTCGTAAGCCGCAAGGCGATACGCGCTGCTCATGGAAGGATCTGGCCCCAGCGGTGCGGGGCTTCTGTTGTTCGGCGTGAAGCCAAATCCGAACCACGTCGTAACCAGCAAGCCCACCAGGAGCCCATACATAATGTTGCCCGTGAGGATAGGCTTGAGAATATCGACAACGGGTTCAAAAATTCCGCGGACCGGCTCGAACAAGCCCCAGTTTGCCTCTTCCTGCTTGGCGCGCGCGCCTGGGTTGATGGATTCCGTGGATGATTGAAGGGCCTTGCTCTTCTTGCCCTTCTTTTTCGACTTTGGCGCCCCGTTTCCATTAGTAGAAGCTCGCGGTCGGGTAGAAACTGCTGCCTTCAAGGCAGCAAACAGGTCCTTGCAATACTGGGCCTGACCCTCGTTGACGTTCTTTTCAATGGTGCCTGCAGAGTAGCATGTCAGTAGGCAGTAATAATAGCTACCCAGTCAATTGAAGGCAGAAGCTGTGTACGGGGTTTAAAGAAATAGTAATCAAAGCATTCACGCACCTTTCAGCCAACTCTTGCCACTCCATTCTGTAGTGCAGTTGACTTGCACCCGAGTGCCATTGTTCTCACCCCAGGAGAGACAGTACTTGGTCTTGACCTTGAAGATGTTGCCGTTGGGAACGTCTGGGTTTTGCGTCACTACACTCACATTGACGGCCTTTTCGTAGTCAATGTTGTCCACGGTTTCGGTGACAATGCACTTTGTCTGCTTCGGCCCAATCGGAGCATACAGAGGCTTGATGTAAGTGAACGCTCGAGTGCGGCTGTCGGGGCTCATGCCCTTCTTATCCTCCATTTGCAGGTCAAAGCACTTTTGGTTCTCTGTAATCCATTTGCCCATCCACTCTGCAGAAGCCTCGCCAAAGAGCATCGAGAATACCCTGCCCATCGGAGCTGGAATAGTTTCGTCGGCCAAGAATTTGTCGTAGTGTGTCTCGCCGTCACCGCAATCAGTTGGAGCGTGGATTGCCGGGCCGGGGAACGTTCCGGCCCCGGCTGCTGGAGATTGCCCATCAGCAGCTGCGTCAAGTACGGCCGCGCTGGGAGCGGGAGCGCCAGATATCTTCCTATTTGCTTTGGCAGTGTCTCCGCCGGCACCGCCAGCATCCGCGGCCTGGGCTTCTGGGGCATGGTCGCTCTCTTCTTCATCGTAGAAATCGTCGTCGTCGTCGTCGCTGCCTTCTTCAGAGTCGGATCCAGCTGGAGTCTCGGGCTCCAAGTTTCCAGACTCGACATCAAGCTTCTCGGTCTTGTCGCCACCAGTGCCTTCGAGCCGAACTCCGTTGAGCGTGCTAGTCAATGTCGGATGGCCGAGCTTCCAGATGTTGACAATCAGATCGTAAGTAGCGTCTCTGCTAGTGAAACTGGCAAAGATGTGCTTGGCGTGCAAAGTCGATATCATCAGTCCGTTTTTGAAGACCAAGGCAGTGCTTCTCTTCTCCACGGAAACTATCTCGTCAAAGCTCATTACCAGAGTCGTCGTCCAGCCAAGAATGTTGCTGCTAAAGCAGAGATGGCCCTCTGATACATATAATCGACCGTGCGCGAGAATCTCTCGCTGTAGCGCACAGCTGTAGTCCTCAATAAGGTAATCGTCATCTGGCACGCTCTTGAACAGGGTATGGAAGTCGCGGTTCCTCTTTTTACTAGCAATGGCAAACCCCGTGAGCTTGGGAGCAGTGCCCCCCGGAGCTGCTGGCGCAACTGTGTTGGTCGTAGCCGTAGAACTTCCTCGCTTTCTCTGAGTGTCGCTTTTTATGCTACCACTATCGCCCTGGGTAGTTTGCGAAGCTCCTTGCTCTCCATCCGCTGCTTCGTACAGCGACCTGGGCCTACTGGTTGTTCCATCGAGTGCATCATCTCCGGCCCTGCTTTGACTGTCAGCTGGTGCCGATTCTGATCGCGTTCGTGTATCGTTAAGGTCTGGAAATCGAGATATATCGGGGGCCGCCATGGCTGCTGATGGCTCTACAATGCCAAGTTGACTCAAACTAAGTTCGCCGGTTCCAATTGTCTTGATTGCCGACTCCTTTTTATCCATTACGTCGCTCGACTGCGGCTCGGGTGGTGGGGGTTCGACTTGGTCGGATTCTGGTGCAGGGGATGATTGTGGCTTAGACGCCAGATTCGTCCGACTCTTGTTTCCTCCAATCCCAATGCTGCCGCCCTGGATATTGCTACTAATACTACTCGCAGCGTTTTGGGCAACCGAGAACATGGAAGAGAAGAATCCTGCTGAGCTCGGCGTCTGGACTTCGCTGCCTTCAGGGGTAGGTGAAAGTGGCGCAAGGGTGATGTTGGACAGTTTGCTGGGCCCTATGCTCGCAGATCCCGATTTCGTTCTTCGATGCGCGCTTACGGCGTGGGAAGAGGAAGAGGAAGAAGCAGTAGACGGGCGGTCCCCATTCGAGGCAGGCTCTGCAATGACAGGCGGCAGCTTCCTCTCCTGGTGCAAGGCGAAGGGACTTGTTCGCTCGACCGGCGTCGGAGGGGTGTTTACAATGACGGGGCCAAATTGATCGTCGCTTGTCGAAGGCCGCGCAGGCGATGTCGAGATCCTCGCGGGCGGGATGATTGAATGCTTTTCAGGGGATGAAGTCGTCTTGGCCGCGGCAGGCGGTTCGGGCAGTGGCGCTATCTCGCTTAGGCGCTCCTTGGACGCATTGGGAGACGAGCTCCTGGATTTGGAAGATCCACGGCGGAGGCGCCTAGACAAGAGAGACGGCCGTCGTTCGCGTTCGCTCGGAGGGTCGAAGTCGGTCACTTGTACGACGGGAGAAGACGCTGCCAGGTGGCCAGCATGCGACGTGAGGGATGTCGTGGCCGAGCGAGATAGTGGGGGGCGAGAGCTGCTTCTGATTCGGTGTCAGAGCTCAATGCGACGCCTTTGAATGAAGACAAGTGCTGTAGAGAGGGGGCTGAATCGCATGCGTGGGCTGGAGCTAGCAGGTAAAATGCGAATACGAGCCAAACAAGATGGGAAAAAAAATATGTGGTGCGCGCGAGAAGGGAGAGAGAGACGATCAATGGAGTAACGATGAAAAGAAGAGACAGAGGCCCAAAGCTGCGCTGTGTGGCGTTGAGAGAATGGCGCTTGGGCAGTGACGCTTTGCAGGGAAAGACGCAGGGAGGAGTCGGTGTTACAGCATACAAGGCTACTTTGCGCTGCTGCTGCTTGTCATTCCGCCACTGGCGAGACGACAAAGTAGGAATCAAGACTGCAACTTGATAGGAAACACAAGAATGTGCAGACACGCCACAAAGACAAAAGCTGGTTATGCAGAGCAAATTCACGACTTACCGGTCAGACTCTGCGTCGGCATCGGCGCCTCCCGACTCGTAGGACCCAAAGCTGCGATCGTCGTTGTCGTCGTCGTCGGCGGCGTTGATGGATGCCGCATCGTCACCGTCTTCGCGACCTGAAGCGTCCGATTCCAGGCCTCCCGTCTTTACTCGTCGTCTGCGCTTGGCCAGCAGCTTGGCCAATCCTCCGCCTCCTCCAGTTCCTCCGCCATTGCTGCTGCTCTCCATTCTCGCTGCAGGCCGCTAATGCTAGCCGAGTGAAACAGTGACACGCGGGAATCGATCAATCAGAGGCCGTGGATCGCAAGGGAGTGGAAAAGAGAATCGCCTTTTTAGAAGGCAAAGAAGAAGAAGAAGAAGAAGAAGAAGAAAAGAAAGATGAATCGTAAAATAAGATGAAAGATGAAACTGCAAAGTGAAATCAAAGAAAGTTATGAATGAGCTGAAGTCCCCGCTTCGCCGTCGACGCTCTCTTATATCACCGGAAAACTAGGAGAAATAGGTTTAGATTTGATAGGCGCTCGTTTCTCTCTCTGGTCGCGCGACCGCTTCTAGCATGCTATTCTTATATAAATAGGATAGGCAAGTCGCATCTCCTGTCCTTGCGACTCCTGAAATCAACTCCGTGCTGTGCACTAACAGCCCCGTTTGAGTCGGCCAAGCGAGGCTGCGCAATTAGCAAGGGCCGTTTGATCGGGGCCGATGGCACGGAGGTTCTAGAGATGCGAGAAATGGCCCCTGGCGAAACAGACAAGGGAAGCGTTGTCGAGATTGTGTGACGAGGCACCCCCGGAGGAGGAGAATTGAAGGTGGGGGGCTCGTTTTTAGTGTGCTGGAAGAAGCCAGTTCATGCGATGGACGCCGTGAGTGACGACGATACGGGAGCTGCAATAGGCCGATGCTCCGTACTGGATGATGTTGGCAGTTGTTGCTGCTTGTCAGTGCTATTAACAACTTGAACGATTGTTGAGTATCTGCTTCGCATATTTGTACAATGATGTCAGCACGTGCAAACATGCAAACAGCCCAGGACAAACGTTGCAGCAGCTAGGTAGCTGGTTCAAGTTGTTTCGTTTAGCATTGCTCCAACTGCTCCAGCAGCTAACCGATGCGCCTCCAAAGCTCAGCCAGACACTTTCGCCGGTTTGTCCCAAGCGCCAAACCCAGCCAGTACCTCCCAAATACCCCCTTCGCCACCCACTCCCGGCTGCAGCCTCCTGTTTATCCAATGTCAATCGCGTCCACATGCCGTCATGGAGCGGGACGCTAATAAGTGCCCGCACCGATTATACACACTTACGCGCACACTTGCGCAACTCAACTCATCTGATGCTCCAAAGACGGCCGAAACTGGCAATTTCCTGCATCGTCAAACGACACGCTGCATCGTCTCTCTCGCTTCTCCCGCGGGGCAGAGAACCAGATCTTGTCGGTAGATTCAAAACGTGATACTCGCAACCATGGAGTCGTCGCCGCTCATAAAGGCGCACGACCACGCGCGCGCTGCCGCCGTCGCTACTCGCCAGTCTTCATCCTCTGATACCACCGTGGCCATCAGCGAGCACACCCTGGCCGCCGGCGAGTTTGCCAATGCCGCAAAGGCGACCTCCAGCGTCGAGGCGCTCCGGACTTTGAAGCTGCTCGAGGAGCACCACCGGAAGCTGGCCGAGATCCTCAAGCTGCCGCCGGAGCAGATGCCGCACGCCCGAGACGGAGAGCTTTCGGAGAAGACGCACTCCGAGAAGGCTGATGGCGATGCCCTCGGCCTGGACGCTACGCGAGATTCGCTCCAGGCCGCGGCCGCCAAAGGCGCTCAGCCGCCCGGCCTGGCCCAGCGCCGCTACATGGGCCGCGAAATGTCGTCGTCCATCGCCAGCAACCTCGCTTCCGCCAGAGGCATCCGCTCCAAGGACCGCACCCAGCCGCTCAGCCCCAGCGTGTCCAACGACCAGGCACCCGGCAATGTCGACCCCCAAGCGAAACGCGATGCCTCCAAGGCCAAGATGCAGAACATCATGGACCGCCAAACCGGCCGCCCTACTTGGGTCCCGCCTGTAACTGCTGCGTCCAAGCAAGACGGCGTTGCGGCCAAGGGCAGCGCGTCTCCCAAGGTCGAGCCTGGCTCTCCCGCAAGGGACGATGGTGGCTACGCCCGCTTCTACAATACTTTCGGGAGTCTGATCAACAAAATCTCTGCTCCCCTCGCTTTCGCTGGTCTGCCGCTCATCCAAGAGGAACCTGCCCTTCCCACTGAATCTGCCGTGCTCCCCCCTACTGTCAATCTGTCCCCTACCAAGCCGTCTCGTGCCCGTGTCTCCCCATCTTCTAGCGTCGAACCGGATCTTTCCAAGATTTACTCAAAGGCCACCATGCGAGCTCTCGTCCGAGATGGCCATACTGCTGCTGATTCGTTCTACGTTGTTCCCTCTACCGGTCATACCATGTCCTATGCCAACATTCTGAGCTACGCTGAAAAAGAAAAGCGCCGGCTGGAAGCTTCGATCCATGGCGATATCTTGCCTCACGATGAAGATGACGATGACTTTGTGGACGCCCGTGAAGCCCCTGGTTCTATAAACCCCAGACGACGTATTGCCCGTAGCCACACTGAAAAGGAACTCTTCAACACCATCGAGGAACTCAGCCTGGAAAACAAATCGCTAAAGGACATGCTTGACAAACTCTCGAAGCGCCTCCACACGTTCGAAGCCAGCGCCCAGAGCTCTGCTCTTGCTCTTGCTGAAAGCTATCGCATCATGCCTGCTGGGTCGCAGCATTCCGGGGGGAGAGTGAATGACGATGAGTTGATACGGAAGAATCACGAGCTGGAGGAACAAATTGCCGCAATGACGAAGCACATGGAACGCCTTGAGAAGGACAATCGTAAGCAGCAAAAGACGCTGGAGAAGTACCGTGAGAAGTGGGAGACGTTGAAGGCTGGAGCCAAGGCTCGGCGCGGAGCGCAAGTATCGGCTGAGAGCGTGGAGGATGCTCGCTCGTCTCAGGGGTGAAGCGGCGATGCTTGTTGATTATGTATCCAGTCTCTCATTTTTGTCCATGTCTCACTGGTAGATCGTACTAGCGAGCTGCGTTGCGCCTTTGCGCATGGTCTGTCTGTCTGTCTGTTTCTCGTAGGTAGGGCAAAGCGTATGCCAGCGTAGTTTTGATTTCAAATTCACGATTTTGCCTCTCACTAACACACTCCTTTTTACCATGACTTTCTTTGCAGTCGGATAAACAAGTGATTGATGATGAGGCATCAACGCCCATACTCTCCAAGCCTCTCATGAAATTTACAACTAAAACAAGGCTCTTCGCACACGACCCAACACTAGATGACTGATTTTTTCTACAATAATTCTAACGCAAAACCGATCGTCATTTAACGTGAAACATTGCAGTAGTATAACTGCCGATGCTCATGTAGGAGAGCACTTGCTGGAAGTTGATTTCTAGACCATGTCAATGTGCAGATCGGTCTACATACCTGCCTAGGTATCTTGCCAAACCATGCCTTCTACATGGCAGTACAACTTGCCTCCTCTCTGCGGCAGAGAAGGGTCCAACTACCCATTCAGGACACAAAACAACAAAACATCCACCTTTGTCTTTCCCAAGATTGCTTCATCGTTATCGTTCTTACCAAAGCCAGAATAATTCGTAGAAGCTGCGTAGCAACCATGTCGTATAAAACCTCTTCCTCTCTTCTCTTCTCTTCTCAATTCTCTGCCTCCACTCCACGATTCCCTTTCTCTAGCACTATGTTTTTTCTCATTCATGCTTATTCAGCCCTTCGATCTCGTCCATCCTCGTAGCATTGCCGTCGACTTCACTTTTTCTCCGCATCTCATTGCTCGCCTTTACTCTTCATTTCCTTCACTCCACTCTTCTTCTTCAAACCACTCGTCTTATATTCTCATTGGTCTTCTTTCGTTTCCAACAAGTCGGTCGATCCAACAGAGCGGTTCTCTGGTAAGGCCTCAGCTCCCACCGCCAAAGGCCTTGCTTGAACGACATATATCACTCCAGCCAAAAGCCTCTGGTGTAGTCTCATCATTGGCCTGTTTGTGAAACGTGGGTGTGTCATCACAATGATGACGATACGGCAACTTCTGATACTCATGTTGAGACGCACTATCCCTGTACTCAGTGATCACACCCACTCAGCCTTTGGCTGACCTCCCTACAATTTCTTCTAGGAACATCGATAGCCTCGATAGCCTCAGCTCCAGCGCAACTCGAGATAGAACAACTTAGTAAGTCTCCATCCTCCTCGCTGCCAAGATCATCATCGGCTACTGACACCGTCCACAGTCAACCACACTCGCCAGTGCCAGCGATTTGCATCTGCGTCACCCATCTTTCAGCCACTTGGCTTCAAGATTGATTATCACGTACGAGCTGGATGAACACACAGGGCAAAGGGATATTCATGGGGGAGTGGATGGTGGAAGGGGGTCTCACGTGAAAGTTGTGTTGAGCAAAGTGTAGCTAAATTGGGTGAGTAATAAACGGCAAAATTGAGGACCGAATCGTGTGGTAGTGCCATCTTGATAGTGTCAGTTTCTATGGCGACAAAATCTTTCTGACCTGTTGAGCATTGGCGAGTTTCTCAGTAAATGCGATGGTATCCAAATATGTAGAAGTAATATAGCCAGTGACACAATTAAAAATCTTTCGCTGCTACTGTTATCACTGTTTGTTTATTTGAGGGCGAGGCATGAACTTTGCAGATTACCAATTAACAGGGCTTAAGCGCAAAGGGGAAAAGCTTCTCCGTCAATGACAATATGCATCCTGTATGGATATGTCAGCTGAGAGATTCACAACGGAGGTGGGTAATCTAACCAAATGCCCGATCGGACGTTTTATTTACCCGTATAACACAACAGATGCGCGGTATATGGAATGGAGCACATGGCAGTGGGATGAATCAAAGGGAGTACATATCAAGCGGTCTGTTGTGGATGACCTCAGTCAGCTCTATGGAGCAATAATGATATTTGAACTCTTATTCTCTGTCCCTTGCATATAATAAAGGATCATCTCAGCTTAGTGCAGCTCATGGTATGATGCATGATGCAAGGAAAGAAGCTCTCACATTTTGCCTTGGACGCCCATTGGCCTCTTTGGTGAGACGTCACTTTGATCTCTAGTAAACACGATAGATGTGTATTGTGGAAAAGGTATGTAGCACTATAAAGAGACTGTCAGTGAAAGTAATGCTACAAACAAATAGAATTCGTCCTCGTTGAGATGTGCAAAGCAAATTTAGAAACATTCTTCCTAGAGCAAGGAGAGAGCTTGCATATCCAAAGCAGGGTACACCGCATAACATTGAAATCCCGTAGCTCTGCGTCACAGAGCAGTCCCCTGATGTGGCCTCAGTTTTCTTATCAGGAAAAGGCTTCTTTGGCGACAAATAGCATGTCATCCAGCTAGAGAGCCCTCTTTGATATGTTCTCATCATTGGCGTGGCGCATCCCGTGGTAACGAAGGACACACTCGCTCAGTGTATAGAGCACTGGGCAAGTTGACCTTGCAACTTTTATGATATGGCCTCAGACTTTCGTACCACCGAAAAGCCTCTGCTTGATGACAAATAGTATGTCCTCTAGCTGGAGAGAGAACTTTCCGGTATAGTCTCATCATTGGCCTGATTCCCTGTGGTAACTCCAAGGTATCTTCAAGGACATGCCTCCTCAGCCATTGGCTGCGCCGAGTAGGCTGCCCTTGTTATTATAATGTGGTTTTTATCATGGCCTCGTCCCATCACTGATAGCTTTCCGTGGGGGACATATAAAAACCCTCAGCTGGAAAGGTTGTTTCTAGTGTAGTTTCGTCATTGGCCTGACATTTTTGATAACGATAGGCCTGGGACAGAAGGAATCTTCTACCTTGTTCTGATCGGTTGAGAGCCGATAAATATTTTGGGTCAGACCATGTGGGCAGATGCTAGGCAGATGCTAGTATTTATACCTCTCAATCCGCCTTTTTTTTCTGGGAACCTGAGGGAATCAGAAGAGTTGTTCTAGAACAGCTTAAGTTTGCGTTACTCTTATCTAACTTCTGCCGTTTTTGCCACTTCTGCCACTTCTGCCACCTTGATGACTCCAAGTAGGTACTTTGAAGTCAGAGAAGGACTCCTTTAAGATGACGAGGCCCAGAAGGAACAAGCCAAGCCTTCAGATATGACGCCAAACTAGGCCAAGTACGCCGGTTCCGTCAAGAACTCGGAGCTCCTCTAAGATCTAGCCCAACTGAAGTTCATCGATCAAGGCAATAAGAAAGCCAGGGATTTCCGGTCTTCGGGTCCCATGGGGTATGGCCGTACAAAAACACCTTTCCATACATTTGATTCGCATCTTCTCTTCCTCTGGCCGAGGGATAATTCCGCAATCTCTCCAGATGTATATAATTCTTTTCTCCAAACTTGATTCACTCGTTAGCTGATCTGAACTACACGTCAAATGAAAGATTTATTCCCTTTCATTCGTCACCACATATATAAATAGCACCTCGGCTATCTAGATCCACCACGAATACGCCTCACGACAATCGTCAAAGGCTAAACTCTAATTCCACCAAAAACTCACACTGAAGCTGATACTCAGGCTGCGTACGTAATGCCACCACCCTATCGGAATGACCAGCGTGTCTCCCGGCCGCAATATACATTCCCAATAGGGGACATCTGCCAGCTCTTCTTTCCTTCTGCTCTCTTCTTCATCCTCTCCATCATCACAATCACCACTATCAACAGCCTTGTCCCAGCCTTCCAAAACGCCAACATCCAACTCACTCGTGTTGCTCATATCAACACCAAGCTCAACCCCCCTAGGCCTCAACCGCCCCGTATCCTCAGGAGCATACAGCCTCACATACTTCGTCCCAACTACCTGACACAGCAAATTATGATACCCGTCCGTGTGAAGCGGAGTTATGGTCCTCGCAGGGCCAAACCACGCGTTCAGCTGCGGAATGTCCACGGGCGCCTGGTCCTTGGCCCGGGTCGTAGGATGCGGCGGGACGTCAGCCCAGCAAAAGTCCGGCACCTGGATGTCGTTGCGCAGGGCGGGGATCTGCCCGAAGAGGTTGTGCTGTGCGAGATAGCCTATATCCTGTGGTGTCCGTTTGCCCTCCTTTTGGGGTATTGGTTCTATGTCATCGCCAGCATGATGCGGTAGGATGCCGGGGTCGATGTATCTCGTCAGGAAGTCTCTAAACTGCACGAGTTCCTGGCTCCATCCCTGGTCGACATAGCTTCGCCCAATCTCAATGGGTACGAGTCTCCTCCCGCCAAATGTCTTGGAGAGGAGATAATCGGGACTGTTCCACGGGGCATCCGAAAAAGCAGGCCAATCCTTTATCAAGTCTGTGAACACAATGGGCAGCGGTCTTCCCCGGCTCTCCTCGTTCATATATTTTTCGAATCCCTCCAATGTCCAACCTTCATATCGTGGACAGGTTCTGTCTGCTGAGAGACTGGGACGGCCAAATGGCTCGCAATCAGAAAACGTTTGCTCTCTTTTGATGCGCTTATGCGGCCTCTGCTCGCCGGCGACTGTGGATTTTTCTTCCTCCCAAAAGTGACTGAGCAGGTCCAGCGTCCCTTCAATCCACTGCTTACCGAGAAACTTGCCTGCACCACCGGCCACGATGAGGGCTCTGTCTAGATCCTCAACCACGCGGTCCATAACGTGCTCATCCAACGCACCACATCGAGCAGCCTGCAGAATAGCATAATGCGACATGAGAATCAAGGTATCCGTATATATCCACCTCCAATACTGAGGCAGCAAGTCGAATCGATAAGCATAAAACATCGACATAGAAACCGACGCAAGGTCATCCAACCTCGTCTGCAGCAAATCTTCATCCACTCCAGCATCAGTCCCTTGCTCTAGGGCCTCATGGAGCTTGGCGAGACAGCGTGCTTGGCGCTGCAGTAATTGTTGCATCGCATGTCCTTTTAGATCTACGCTCTCTAATTGTGATTGTTCCTGAGCGGCATCAGCGTGGGAGTTTTCTGGGTTGGGGTTGGCATGCTGTGATGTGGCGATGGTGTCTGCGGCTTCGCGATACCGTGACAAAACTTGGTCGCGCAGCAAAGACATGTTGGAAGAGGGCAATTCGTCTATTAGGTATATATTTTCTCATAGATTGCACCAAAAAAAAAAACAAAGGGATTGTTGCTTAAAGCAAATAATGAGATGCATTCGTAGTTCGTGTTGGTGTAAATTCAAGAAAAGACGTAAGGTGTAAGTGGAGAGAGTAAAAGCTCTGGTGCCAAATCTGTAAGCCATCGTGCCATCCTACCCGGAGCGAGCATCAGCCTTTTTGACATCGCCATAAACTCCCGTCACTTACTTTATTTTGACTCCCTAGAGAAAAGTACGCCATTTGAATAAAACTATTTGAAAGAGCAATATTTTATCAGTCACGTCCAGTTGAGTCTCTCTACTGTGCACGCGCTCACTCACTTTCTGTTACCAAGTAGCTGGAACAAAATGGTAAACTCATCAGAAGATATATATATATTTTCCACGCACAAAACCCCCCACGACCCATTTCCATCATTTCATAAACGTACAAGAGCTCGAACCCTCTTTTCTTTCCTTCGTTAGATTTCGCTTGAGCTGTGCCGACTTTATCAATGAGACTAATTCTAACAAGTCCAGACACCCACAATACCGTTTCGTCTACCCTCTACCAGGTAGCCGTCCTTGACACGAACACGCTCGACAATAGCGGCATTCTTGGAGGCGGCCTTGACGCCCTCAGAGGCAGCAACGCCCGCTCCGCAGTCCCATTGTCGACCCTCAACCTTATCGTACACCTTGACCACGTCTTCGGTGGCCGCGCTCACAATCCGTCGGGCATCAAACATCATACTGGTGACAGGGTTGTCGTAGGCATAAGCGTCGTAGATGGATCCGGTTCGGAGATCCCATATCTGAAAAGCAATGTGTTAGTCAACGCTGTCTATCAATTCGTGATATTACACTAAGAATGAGCTTACTCTGATACTGCGGTCTAAGCTGCCAGTCACCAAGTGCACATCGTCAAACTGCAGACAAGTCACAGCGCCGGTGTGGCCGACCAAGCTGCGGTGAACCTGGCCGCTTCGGAGATCCCATAAGCGGACCATGCCATCTGCAGTACCGCAAGCCAGTGCGGACTCAAACACCTGCAAAGCACCGACAAAATCGGCAGAGGTTCCCTGAGCACGACCCGTTGGCCTCCAGGTGCTGTCGCTGGTGGTTGCAATGGCCGATGCCTGGGCGGCTGCCCACATGACGTCGAGCGTCTGCACGCAGCGGCCCTTTTCCAAGTCCCAGTGGCGGATTGTCTTGTCCGCTGAGCCAGAGACCAGGACGTCTCCTCTGAAGTGGAGGGCGGTGATTTCGTCAACGTGCGATGATAGTGTGTAGAGAGCGCAGTCGTCCATGCTTCCCTCCGGCGGCTCGATAGGCTGGGCATCGGGGTGTTCAAAGGCAATAGCATCTTCGTCATCGTCGCCGACTTCCTTACCGCCCTGAGGGTTGTAGTGTGTTTTGCTTAGATCCCATAATTTGATAGTCGCATCCATGGAGCCAGTCGCCAAAATGTTATCCTCGACCTGCAGGGCTCGCACAGAGGCCGTGTGGCCTTCTAGGTAGCCCATGCATCGTCCGGCATTCAGATCCCAGACTCTAACAGTATCATCCAATGCAGCAGTAACCAGAGTTCCAAAGGGGGCGTCAAAGTCCATGGCAGTAATCGTATCGCGATGCGCGCGGATTTCACGGATGCTAGATCCTGGCGCAAAGTGCTCGTGAAGAATCGGCATGGATTTCCGGCGATGGACCTTTTTCGATTTGCGTGGCTTGCCATCGGGTCCGGGCAGCTTCTCGTAGACAGATTTTGACATGAATTCGGGGTCATGATCGTCGGCGTCGCCCACGAGATCTCGCTCGTCCTTTGTGGCAGTATTCCGGGCAATCTCTTCGGCCTCATCGACAATGGCTTGGACTTCGTCGATCTTCGTTTCAAGATCCATGACTATATCGGGATAACCAAAGAATGGAAAGCAATTAGAGGCGCATATTCATCATTGAGGGATAAGATACATCTATCGCATGGGTTCAGGCACCTACCGTCATGTTCAAGGGAGGACTCGTCCTGCTCGAAGCCTGCTAGCCTCTCCAAGACAATCCTGCGCATGCCATAGAGATTGGCGATCTTGTTGTCTATCTCACGGATCTCACAGCTGACCATGCTCTTGCGCACCCCCAACAGCTCCAGCTCATGCACCATGGTGGTCTTCTCTTTCTTCAGCTGGGACAGCTTTGCCGGCGTGGCGGGAGTGCTCTCGCCCTCCTCCAGCAGTTTCCTGCCCCTCGATGGGCGCCGACGGTGCTTCTTCCCTTCATCCGCCAACTCTGGAAAGCTGGCCTGAAAGCCCTGGAAAAGCGAGTAAGCGTTTTGGTGCTCGGGGATGTTGGAGAGCAGCTCGTCGGGGAGGTGTGTGAGGGCGCGGTGCTGGATCTCTGCTGTGGATAGCTTGGACCGCACGATTTCGGTAGGGCTCGAACGAGCCATGGAGAAGACGCCGCGCTGCACGCTGGGGCGCTTCATCTGCTTGTGAACTTCGGCCATGGCGGCGCGATAATGGATTCCAGACGCCTCGGCGGCCGGTCCCATCAATTGGCTCGCTGTGACGGTAACCTTGCGACTGAATGCCTCAAGCCCTCGAGTCTGCGATGGGAGGGGAGAAGTCTGTTAGCTCATTGCGCCCAAAAGACAATTGCAAGCGACAGCTCAATGGCCTCGGCATTGCGGTCGGCTGAACAGAATTTTTTGTTGCTCTTGCGGCTGGCGACATACCGAGATGATGGACTGCTCGTCATCGGGGCCATCGTCGAAGGCATAATGGCTCTCCGAGTCGGCCATTACTCAACGACTCGGCCGGCGCTAGACGAGGCTCAAGTGAGGCGCGAGGATGAAGTACGTCTTCCGTCAGGTGTCGCTCAAGGTGAGGAAGAATCACGATTTTGCATCGCAAAAAATGGACATGGCCTTGCGGGTGTGAAATTGGGGCCTGGTACGGCAATGGATGACGCGCGCAGAAAATGCAGGACAGCCCGGGCCCCGGCTATTATGTACATGCTGCCTTGCCTTGTAGGCGGTACTAGCCGCTCTCTACTGGTTAACGGTCCAATGCCAGCGGTGTTCAGTATTTCGTCCCGCCGTCCATGCACCCCTCTAGCTCTGCGCTGCTTCCCTTGTGTTTAGAACCTGTTCATGCAGTCTCTACTTGTTTCTTTGGCAATGATCTTTGATTCTGATGTACTTTTACACTGTGACTTGGCCGCTGCACTACTTGTCTTGACTATTTGCTCAAGTACTGGGCAAAACAGCGCTCGCATGATACCTGTAGAATTGCAGGCCGTTGCAGGTGTTTCGGCAATGTCTCTGCTAGTGCGCCTCTGCATTTCTCGCCCGCCTGTGCGGCTCGCTCGACGCCCCACTGGGGGCTTTTCCGGGGGGCGCAAGGGCTAGACGGCGGTTGATACAGCACCCTGGCAAGGCCTAACAGCTTCGATCTCCAGGGGACCCTAGGCCTAGTAGATACCCATTGAGGATTAATCGCATTTGATCAATTGTCGTTATGTGCCATGTACACTTTAGCGATTGACCCAATGTGATACCGGGCTAATATCTGCCAATAGCACGCCATGTGTGCCTCGCAAACAGCATTCGGAGATCTAATAACCTACTTAGGTCTTACACAATCGCAGACTCCAGTCGTCTTACAGTTTCCACTTGCGCCGTCGCAACATTAGCGGCTCAGGTGTAGCACTTACTGCATGTAGATGCTGCTGCTGCTACTACTAGTAAATCGCAAGCTGCCGCTGAAGAATGGAGGGGCTCTTGGCTTTTGAGCTCCAGAGACGAGTCCCGTCAGACGCCGGTCTCGGGAGCGGCTCAACCTCCAATTCACGTCAACTCCCCCACCACGGTCGCATTGCAGATCTGAGGTCTTCCTGCACGTCAGCTTACCTTACCACTGAATCCTTTTGCGGATGCGTGTATAAGGAGTCTGGTATATAAAGCCTTCATTGAGCTGTTCACCGCGCGCAATCCAGCGAGATCAAGCCTGATTCTTTTGCTTCCCAAGACGACTCACATCAAGCTCAATCGCCAAGATGGATTCTGCCGTGGACATGGCCGACAGCTCGCGCGCGCTGGATCTTTCACGCATCCGCTTCCAGCTCATGTCAGTATCGCTGCTCCCAGCGTGCTTCTCCTTGACCGTCTTTTTCACCTGTCTAACACGCTGCGCAGCCGTCTCGAAGACACAATCACCTTCCATCTCATTGAGAGAGTCCAGTTTCCTCTAAACAAGGTGATACACGAATGCCATCCTCGACAAGATCTGTACTATAAGCATGTGCATTGCTAACCAAGCTCTATCTAGACCATCTACACACCAGGAGCTCTTCCCATCCCTGATAGCAGCCTGAGCTTCTTTGATTATTACTTTTCGCAGCAAGAGAAGCTTCAGTCTCTTATTCGCCGTTTCGAGTCACCCGACGAATACGCCTTCTTCCCAGAGGCAATCCAGACACCCCTGCTAAAACCTCTCAACTATCCCAAGATCTTACACAAGAACGACGTTTGCGTCAACGACAAGATCAAGAAGTTCTACATTGAGAAATTCTTGCCTGTTGTGTGCCCCAACTTTGGCCGCGAAGACCGAGGAGAGTCACAGGAAAACTACGGCTCGACGTCCACTTGCGATATCGCTTGTCTACAGGCACTATCCAGGAGAATCCACTTTGGCAAATTCGTCGCCGAGTCCAAGTTCCAGTCGGACCCCGAGCTCTACACACAGCTGATCAAGGCTGAGGATCGGGAGGCCATTGGCGAGTCCATCACTAACAGGGCTGTGGAGCAGCAAGTTCTCGATCGCTTACGTCTCAAGGCGGAGACCTACGGCAAGGACCCGTCAACGCTGGGAGGAATAGAGCAGCCTGTCAAGATCAATGTAGATGCGGTGGTGTCCATGTACAAGGACTTTGTCATTCCATTGACCAAGGAGGTGGAAGTTGAGTACTTGATGCAGAGGCTCCTACCAGAATAGTAGAGCAATTCGTTATTATTGTCTTCACTGCGGCGCAGCTATATATTCACCAACGGCCTTGACGGCCTCCTTGAATTTACCCGCCTCAATGAGAATCATGTGCCCAAATGTCTTAATACCCAACTCCTGAAATGCTCGCTTGCTATCTGCCACCGCGTCATCTTCTTTCGTATATCGGAAACTGCCGTGCGCCACTGCGTATTTCTGTAGAATCTCATCTTCGGGATGGAAGTGGAATGTCGATGCCTCCTCCTTGGCCTTTTTGCGCTTTCGGTCTTCCACATCAAGCGTTGATTCAACCTCCTGATACGTCCTGGAGAATACCAGGTAGTAGGAGAAGTCGTATGGCTCCTTGTCTTCCAATGCGTCTTCCACCTCTTCAACCAGCATGGTGTACAGCGGAGGCGCGATTTCGGACGGCATGTTGATCAGTCGCTCTGAGAAGACGAGGCCAACGGGCTTTTGTGCGTTGATGAGCTCGGCCACGGCAGATATTGAGGGGTTGGTCTGGGCCTTTTCTGCGAGGTACTTGAGAATATCCTTCATAGGCTCCTTCTCGCGATGTTCATATGTGTTGAGGACCGTGAGCATGGCATAGGCATCGTTGGCCTTGCCGTCGACCTTGACTGTCGAGCCGATTGTCGGTTGTGATAGGATAAGGTCTGACAGAGCAGACATGTTGAAGAGATTGGCATCGACATCGAAGAGCTGTCGAAGTAGCGACTTTGTGCCGTGGAAATCGATCTCGGGGTCGAAATTGAACCACTCGAAATCAACATTGACCATGTCAAAGTCCTAGGAAATGTCAGCGACAGCTGGAGCTTTCTCGCGTCTCATCTCATCTCACCTCGTCATCGCTGCTGTCCTCATCCATGCGATCAGCGCCGCCATCCACCGGAGGAACGTCCTTGGCCTCTTCTCTTGATCTCTTTTTGCCCATTGTGATTTGTCTTTATGTTTTGCGACGTAGAAACTGGTTATGCGCGCGCTCCGCAGTGACAATGCAATCTTTTTGGCTCGCCGCAAAGCCGCAGTGGATTAGAGCTTCGATAACGAATTTTTGCGTCCAAAGAACCCCGCGCTATACCGTATGTAGCCACGATAAGAGCTCTCATGCGTCTAATTAGGCGCGATAAGCTGCGCCTAGCTGGCCAATTACCGCCCACTCCCCAGACTCACCTCTCGTGCCCACTTTCGGTGTCGTCGCCAGCCTGCCCAGTTACATAGCCGAACCGAACCAGCTTGCCTTGGAGACGCCATCAGCTTTGCGCGTTCATCTTCAGCCGTCTTCTCACCGGGCTTTGCGGCATGAGCGACGCCCAATTGTGAGAGAATCGCCTACATCTACTGCCCGTCTCTCCAAGACTCGCCCTTCTCCGCCTATACCTGCTCCAATATTGCCTCTCATCCCACGAGGAACGAACGCCTCATCATGGACTATAGCGCCTCTATACACGAGACCGAGGACCCGGCGGCTTCTCCATGGGGCAATACTCCAGGCTCCTCTCCTCAGCATGATCGCACGACCTTTGGGAGCATCACGGGCGATGCTCATGTTCCCGCGTTCCCGTACACCCCGCAATCGTCCAACGGCCTGGGGCATGGCGGAGAGGACTCTTTCCCAGTGTCTGGTGTAGCCACGCCTGCACCAGCCGAGCAAGACGAGGCCGCATTGGCTGCGCATCCCGAATCCGGAGAAATTCCTCAGTCTGCTGGATTTGAGGGACCTCCCCAACCAGGTGCTGCGACAGGCGCTCAGCCGGAAGAGCCTCGAAAGCCCCCGCAGCCCCAGTTCCGGCTGCAGGCGAAGATTACAGGATTGGAGCGGACAGGAAAGAAGGATCCCATCCTGAGATTCGACGTACATGTAAGCTTCTTTCTTTGATTCTCACTTCACCGGTGAAACATTGCGAGAATTCTAACCGGCTCGCTTTTTCTAGACAAACCTGCCCCGATTCCGCACCACCCAGTACCGAGATGTCCGACGATTGCATTCCGAATTCGTCAAGCTTGGCGAGCACCTAATATCTGCTAATCCCGAGGCGCTGGTGCCCGCGGTTCCTCCTGCCATCACATCAGCTGGTGCCGGCACAGAGGAGGACGAATCCCGAGTCAAGGCTTTGATGCAAAGATGGTTCAACTACGTGTGCGGGAACGAGGTATTAATGAGAGACGACGAGATGGTGCTTTTCGTTGAGAGCGATTTTGGCTACAGCCCGTTGGTGAAGAGGAAGCAGCCCGCAACTGGTGTTCGCAGGAAAATCTTGAAGCAGTTTGCTCCGCCTCCCGATGATACCCCTGAGCTCGCAGAGGCTCGTCCCATCGTTAAACTGTTTTATCTTGGCACGATGGATGCAGGCCACAAGGTTGACAAGCTCGTCAAGGCTAGAAGAGGTGAGGAAAATTCATAATGCCCATCAAGCAACTAGATTTTCTTATCTTACTAACTCTCAATGACATACAGGTCTTGGTCTTGCCGAGTCTGATTATGGTGTGAAACTTGGCGCCATGCACGTCCAGGAACCGCATCCAGGCCTGGCAAACGCCTACAAGAAGCTTGGCCGAGTCATTCAGACTGTCGGCGACTACCACGCCGCCCAAGCCACAGCCGAGGCAGCTACCATTGGAGACCCATTCCAGTATCATTCTCAGGACGCCTTCATCGTCAAGGAGACCCTCACCAACCGACAGATCCTCATCCGCGAATTCCTACAAGCTCAGGAAGTCACGCGGAGCAAGCTAAATGCCGCTGATCGCCTCAAAGCCAGCTCCAGCGTCAGACGCGAAAAGGTCGACGAGGCAATCTCAGCACTTGACGAGGCCCGAACAAACGAAACCCACCTCTTCAACAAGACAAGCCGAGTCACCCAGACCCTCGTCCAGGAGCGCCGCAGATGGTTTGACAGGACAGCCAGCGACCTACGCATGGAAATCCGCGAACTCGTCCTCCGAGAAATTGAAGCCGAGCGTCGAACCCTGGCCCTCCTCGAAAGCGTCCGAGCAGACGTCCGGTCCATCGACGCCTCCGGTGGCCTCAGCCGCCTGGGTCGCGAGTCCCACCCCACCGTGCGACGAACCAGCCTCGCTGCCAGCCAGGGTCCTAAGGGCGATGCTTGGAGCGGCGTTCCTCGTCGATCGGACGCCACGAGCCGCACCACTTCCGGCGTCGGCAAGCTGGCCGAAGAGGCTGAAGGAGAAGACAGCCAGGAGTCTGGTTCAGGCAAGCTTGGCCCCGGCCTCGGCAATCTGGCTGGTTTGGAAGAAGATGACGAGGACCGAATTGACGCGCGGAATGCGGCGAGTCGGCTGGCAACGAGCACTTTTTAGAGACGAGAGAGGGATGATTACTATATGATGATGGATGATGCGCTTTCTATACTCTACTTGCTATTTGGTTGCCAAAAAGTGTGCGCGGCTGTTGTCTTTGTAAAAATTACTAGTCTTCTTTCCTTCAGACGAGCACATGTTTATATCAATTTACTGAAGGGCCAAAGTCAACGAATAAGATGGAAATATGGACATAGAAATAGTCACCTACTAATCCATAACTGTGAATTTTTTGCAGACTCTCTGTACCTATAGCACCAGTTGTCTCACACCTAACGCCAGCCCTCGTCATATCAATATCTATCAATCATTCCCATGTGTTATTACAAAGAACGCCTCGTCGTAATGCCTTTAAAAGCAGGAGAAAACAAAGATGAAAGCTAAAAGAAACGTTTCTAAACGCCACGAAAACATCTTTCATCACTAAACGAGTATATCCCCTGTGCCTGGAACGTTAAACGCAGATGAAGAGGAGTACTCTGACGACCCACCACGTCGAGCTGCCGCATGCTTGCCAGACTCAATGGCATGGAATTTCTTGCCCACGTCTCGTGCTTGGTTGACACCCTGCATGATGGAATTCAGCAGGCCGACAAGGTTGACATTGTTCGTCTCGCTTTGCACTTCCTTTTCGAAAGCTTCCTTGTCTGATGGGATGACGAGATCGAGCCGACTGATGAGAGCTTGAATTTGCCTGAGGACATTCGATGATGGTGTGGTATTGTTGGAGTCCGTATCCATGCTCTCTTCCTGAGAAGCTCCGGTGGTAAAAGAGGGTGGCAGACGCTCCAGGTAAGCAGTGATGAGCTGGATTCTAGAGTGAAGCATCTTGATGGCGTTTGCCTTGGCCGTCAACGAGGCAAGCATCTCATCCTCCTCCCGCGTGAGAACTGCTGCATCATCCAGCAGCTCATCCTTCTTCTCGTCAACCTCGCTTTCCACCAGCCTTCGTTTTCCTTTTCCGTTTGACTCAATCGAGCGAGCAGGTCGTTCATCCTTGGCAGCTGATGCAGGGGCACTGGCAGTGGCATTTCCACCACCGCTGGCGACGTAGTTCATGCTAATCATCTCGGTTTCATCGGTCTCGACGGAATACGGCACCTCTCGGAACTTCAATTTAAGCAAGTTCTCCCCATCTTCCATTTTCTTATCCTCTCCATCATTCTCAGCCTTGGCATCGTCGACTTCGTAGTTGCTTTCGTAAATCGTCAGTGGCAGTTTACCGCCCACTGAGTGCTCCATGACCTCTTGAGGGTGGAAGCCCAGCAGAATGGCGGATTCGTTCCAGCCCTCGAGGATCTGGCTGTGGATAGGCAAGACGGTGGATGAGGGACCTGAGGGCGGCAACAGAGTGTACCAGCCGACAAAGTCTAGTTTTCGATCCTTGTGGACAAGGCACACTGGAAGCAAATGCAGTTGTTAGCAAGGCATTGAGAGATTCTCGGGTCGTGGTGTTTTGGGGTCGACGTACTCTGCTCTAATCTTGAACTAAAATTTACAGGATCAATCAAATAGCCTCCCTCCATTAGCGGAGCTTCCTGGATATGGCAGTCGAAAGCGTGTTCGATGGTGATTTCTCGGCCATTCTGTTGGCCGAGGAGAGCTCCGATAATGGGGCCCTTACTCCCTCGGAGGGTGTGCCGTGTGATGTAGTCGGAAATTGTGAGAAGCACCAGCGGATGCAATACAGCCTGGAGCTGCGAGCTCTTCTGGGTGGACAGCAGCGAGCCTTGACTGGGCTGCACAGGGTTCTTGAGTGTCGCAGTGTTCACCGGGTTCTCGGTGCTAGCAGTGACCATGATGGCGAAAAGAAGCTGCTCGTAGCAGATACGTCTATAGAATCCTCTTCGTGGAGAGAAAATCTGCCGTTGAGGTTGTAGTTCTACAGGTGAAAAGTGAAGTGTTGTATGGCGATGATGAAGCACCGTGTGGAGCTGGAGCTGGTTTAGGTTGGACGTTGAATCAACGACTTGCCCCGCGTGCCGTGGGGCTGGCATGACAGCGGGCGCGATGACTAAGCTGGAGCAGAAGTATGTTTGATGCCTGCTTGAGCTACCCTTGACTCTCTCATCTATCAGCCAAAAGATGCTCTCTGGCGAAGAGATAGGCTTGATTAAGAGTATCAAGATAAAAGCAAGTAAAGAAAACGTGTTCGTAATATGAAATGGTAGTAGTTTTCCTGTGATTCAGCCTTCCCGAGAGTTTGTTATTGCTTGACGCTGGATTTTATGTATGAGTTTTGCTGTTACCGTTGTCGCGTTATAGTTTCTCCTATATTGCATTCTATGACCCATGTCACCAGCATATACATTGAACGTATCTGCATGAGGCATCCAACCCTTCAGTAGTATAACATATTTACAAAAAAAAAAAAAGAAAGAAAAAAAAAAAAGGTTTGAAAGGGAGGCAATACGCGGTATCATTGTGATGTCTAGTGCTGTATATAAATTCGTGAAAAACCCCCCTACGCCATAACAAATCTCGTAACCCGAGTACATGTATATTCGCCGTCCAGAAAATGGAATAAAAGTAAAAACATTCTTACGCCCTCTGCTGCGCTTGGATAGAACTGAGTACCAAATATACAGGAAGGGTAACTTGACCAAGGGGCGTAAAGAAGCAGCCTCTAAATGGCCGGCAAAAAAGAAACAAGCAACCATTCTCTTACAAGAAATAGTCAGCGACTGGCTTCTTGGCTGGCATCCCCCTAGAGTCTTGGGGCGCAGCTTGGAATACCCGATATCGTCGAGCAGGGCCATTTTTCGGGCCACCCCTCGACTCGATAACGGCGCCAGAACTGCGGCCTACATCTCCGTTTGTCCTCTGGAAAATGCCAGTACCTGACTCATCCTCGGTAAGCTCCAGCACGGCCGCAACATTGCCGCATCGGTAGCAGTAGTTTGGAGCTGACCAGACGGTGACAATGGAGGCGTCAAACATCTCCTTGAATCCCTCCATGACCAGCTGGTGTGCACGAGCAATGAGACTCAGATCATTTCGATGGTTGAAGACCTTGACAATATCGGCTCCGAATAGAAACCCAGCTCCTCGGGGCGAAAGCCCCCAACCGTCAATTTCGTCTGGATCGGACCACAGTAGATCACACATGGCTCCCTCATGAGGGACTTCCTGCTTCCGGTCAATGAGCCGTATTTTGTCTACTGTGTCGACCAACGGGCTCAGTCCACCATGCACACAGAGAATGGCCCCTGTCGGATTGCCCACGCTTCCACTGCTGGACCCTGACGCTCCTGAACCAGGCGGGCCAGTCTTATCTGCTGTGCTTTTATTAGGAGCTTCGAGCTTCTCTTGAGAAGCTGATTGGTTGGCGCGCTGGCGAGGGAAGCGGCTGATGATGGAGCCTGCTTGGTCGCAGACTTCGATTTCGGTGTCGTCGTCCTCCGGCATGCCAGGTGATAGAGTGCTAGACGCCCCCAGAACTATGGCTCCAAGGGCGAGATAGTCAAAAACATCACAGCAGTAGCGCCATACGTTTGCGCTGCCGTATTTTCGAAGGCATTCGTCGTAAAAGCCATATACCGTCGTTATTTGGCGAGATTCGTGATTGCCGCGGATCAGCGTCATCCGATCTGGGTATCGGACTTTGAGACAAAGCAATAACAGGAATGATTCGAGAGAGTAGAAACCACGGTCGACGAAGTCACCTAACGCATTCCACAGGTGTTAATATCCATGAGACGTACTCAGAATGGGCTGAAAAGAATTGTCATACCCATAAAGAGATAATTCGTGTCGGGGACATCGCCGCCGACGCGGAACAGCTCCATCAGATCATGAAACTGGCCGTGAATATCACCGCATATCTAATCATTGCAAATAAGCTTGGTCAACTCCCATCCTTGTCATATCAAAAGGTGTCGATAGAGAGGCTTACTGTTACCGGCGCCGTCACGGTGACGACGTTGCCCTCCTCGATCAGAAGCTCTCTGGCGCGGTGACAGAGCTCCCGCACCTGGTCTTCCGGAATGGGCCGGCATGAGCGCAGTTGCGCGATCGCCCTAAAGACGGTATTAGCGGCTGAACAGCACTCTGAGGCTAGGTTAAAGTGAGACTGACTTGTCGAGATCGCTCATGATGGGAGAGGCAGAGAGAAAGACGGTAGGTCGACAGAGGTCGCACGAGAGGTGCGCCGGTCGGGCTGCAGCGATAATCGAGTCGGATAGCAAGGCGGCTATAACATATCTCGGGGATGGGTCGCTGAAGATCAAGCAGTAGCCAATGCTCGCTTGATACTGGAAAAGGCAGAGTCGCGTGCAGATAAGAGAGGTTGAAGATTAAAAATGGATCGGCGCTATCGCGTTCTGCTCTCCGGATTGAAGTGGCATGCCCGCTATTGCGCTAACACTGCGGTACTGCGTACGGCCTCTCAGTTGAGTGACTGCGCCGGCCGCCGTCAAACCTCAACATGAACTTTTTAGACATCAGCTCTTCACTTACAATGTGCATGTTGATAACACTACTACTTCGTATCACTTTGTATCAAGATTGGTTAATGTAAAAGTAGTAAAAGCAGCAGGTCTCTCTCATCCAAGCTTCGCTTTCAAGCGTTTACAGACCTGGCAGGGTTAGCTTTCAGTGGACACTTTAGCGCTTCAGCACCTTCTTTAGAGTGCGGCTCCCGAGTTCTTGGGACGCCGCAGGAATTACGTTGTGCCGCGCTCCGGATGCGGCAACCTCTAGCTCCAAGCTAAGCGCCAGCCAATCAGAGAGCTTGTTATCGAATCATCGGGAAATCGCTTCTGCACCACCGGGCGTCTTTTTTCTGCCCGCTCGAATTGCCAGCAGCTATGGGTCCTGGGCTCTGCTCCTAAGAAGACGCTCATCGCCAACCTCCAATTGGGCGTGAATCGTGGCCAGAAGGAACATGCCACGGTCCCCTTGTGAGCCCCCAATGGCTGGCTGTCGCCGGTATGGAAGCAGCTCGACTAACATGTCAAACTTTGCAGCTCCAAACACCACAACCGATCAGTCCCGCTAAGTCCCGGGGATTGCCCAGCCATGACACCACATCTTCACCCCAGGTCGCGCATGACCTCGTCTCTATTCGCTACGACACTGATTGCCAGCTTCTTCGTTGTTGCGCTGCCGCATGTTCTGCCATGCCCGGTGCCGCGGACCAAGTACGCCGATGGGGAGATTATCGTCGATGAGAACGGCAGACGGAAGAGATGGAGGAGCAGGGACACTATCGTTGCAAAGGACGGACTTGTGCAATTCAACCAGACGACGGACGACGACTATGAGCATGCAGAGGAGCGAGCAAAGAGAGAGTGCCCAGTGCCAAAGCCTGGAGGCATGCTAGGCGAATGGCTTGGATTCCACGCCACCAATGACAAGACGAGAGCAAGCAGATGACGATTGATACCACCCAAAAGAGAACAATAAAAAGAAACAAACAGACAAACGAACCAAAAGTGTCGAGTTCCAGCGCGAGACCGTTTTGTGAATGAGTAAATTGAGGCAGAGATCGACAATGTGTCTAATTCGCCAAGACCAACTCGACAGGGCCGGCCAAGAGATGCGGTCTTTGTTTCATGCGTGGCTTGGGCACAGCTGTGATATCAAACCATACAGAAACATATCATCTATCGGGCTCTGTGTCTTTTAAATTGTCCTTGTTACTATGTTTAGCTCACCTGTTCACGTAGGTTCCGTCCTCCGGGCGCCTCCGCAAACAGCCGAGACCTCAAGAGGTAGTTGGTCACTCCGAACTCAGAGTTTATCGCATGATTATTGTTAGAGATAACTTTAACTAACCTTGAAAACCTTAGCAATAAGCCTGTAAGTAAGGCGGGTGCGTCGTTTATGTTTCTGCAAGGGCTTCTAAACTTGGTTGTAGGAAACATCCCGAGAAAAACTTCCAAACAGGAGACGCTCTGGCGCGACCCCAACCGAGCGGCTTCTTGGCAGCAGCTGCACGGCCATCACATCCATCACACTGCTTCCGCCATCTAGACCTTGGCCCTTTGTGCGGCTTTGTTTGTTGCCGGGCGATCTGGTGTCGGAGAGTGGCCGGGGCCTGAAACCTGCCCCGCGACCTCTCAAACGTGGGAGCCGGCAGAGCGTTGACAGCCTGTTGCCCCATACAGCGACACTTGCCGCATTCGGCAGCCTTCCTCAGCAAGGCCCCTAGCCGTTTCTGCGACGCCTCACCTTCACCATCGCTCAGCCTTCTCAACCCGCACTATGCCCAAACTTGCGATGGTCCAGTTTGAGCTTTGCTGACTTACTCTGGGAGGACCTTGAACTCTGTGTCGCATCATTTGCGCTCGCTTTCTTAATCGCCCTTGTCGGGAGACGGTTTGTGTTTCGCATTTGATTCCTCCAGTCTTCCCGATTCACGAAGCTTGGCTTACACTACATCCCAGCCCAGGAGCCTCTTCAGTTCTCATTGGGGTATTATGGAGTTCCAAATGACATTATGGTGATCAGCCGAGATCAGAGATGGCACTGGAGCCAGGAACCACCCAACGGACCAGGGGCTCTATCCCCAGGATGTAGCCTCTGGATATCACCACATCCGGTCTCAGGGAGGGCGCGCAAGCGATGATACCTCACTGCCTAGCTGCCAGGCTTCGGATGAAGTCGAAGCAGAACGAAGCTTGGTCCAAAGCTTGGCCACGGAATCATCCGAGGTATCCTCTTTCCACGACATGGAAGAGAAGTATATTATGCCTCTCCGCCGCCCCTCTCAGTTCTCCTTTCTTCTCTTTTTTCCTCAGGGTCGCTGCGCTTCACTCATCTACATTCAATTCTTCTCTTTTTTCCTCAACAAGAGCTGTGCTCTGTTGCTTTGATTCATTGAAACCTCTGCTTGATCAACCATCCTTTGACTTTCTCATTTCCTTGTTCAACTTTATTTTTATTTTTATTTCTTCTCTTTTCCACATCATTCAAGATGAAGCCTTCTTCAGTCCTTCTTCTCACTGCCGCTGGCCTGGCAACAGCCCTTCCGGCCCAGCCTATCGCCGTTCGTTCGGAGATTCAGGATGCCCCTGTTGCTCGATCTTTCCTTGAGCGCGCCGTCGATGTCATCTTCGCTAGAGATTTGGTTCCCCTGAATGCCAACACTGCGTCTCCACCTGCTGCTGATGCCGCTGCTGGCAAGAAGGGTGCCGCTGCTACCACCACGAGCGCTGCTGCTGCTGCCACTACTTCTGCGGCTGGTGCAAACAACGCTGCTGCTCCTCCTGCAGCTACTGATTCAGTCGCCGCTCCTCCTCCTCCAGCGGCTACTGATTCTGTTGTTCCCCCTCCCCCTCCTGCGGCTACCGATGCCACCGCTGCTCCTCCTCCTCCTGCAGCCACCGATGCTGTCCCTCCTCCTCCTCCTGCGGCTACTGATGCTGCCGGTGCCCCTCCTCCTCCTCCCGCTGCTGGCAACGGTACTGCCTCAGCAGGCAACGGCGGTAAGGGCAAGGGTCAGGGCAAGGGCAAGGGTCAAGGAAAGGGCCAGGGCCAAGGCAAAGGCAAGGGCGGCAACAACAACAACAACAACAAGAACGGCCTTGGTGATGCTATCGGCGGCGCTCTCGCTCAGCTCGGCCTGGATGGCGTCCTCAATGTTGGCAAGATCAACAGCCTCAGCGGCGCTCAACAGATCCAGCTGCTCTCTCAAATCACCACCATCCAGACACTGGCTGACTTGTCAATGGTCAACTCCAAGCAAGTCGCCGGCGCGCTGAACCAGGGCTTCAAGAGCAGCGGTCTCAATGTTGTCATCAACGGTTAAAAACAGGGAATGAAGAGGCTATACCGTACAGTCGGAGTGTGAAAAGAAAAAGAGAAAACAAGAAATGAAACGAAATGGGATATGAATCAGGAGCGTTGAGATGGTTGATCTGGCGCTCTCATGTAACGCGGAGAGAGTATGTAGGATCGTGATAAATAACCCAAGGAAAAAATTGAAAGAATTGCCGAATCAACAAGTGTCCTGTAAATATGCATGCTCAGAAATCGTAGCCACGTTCACGTCTTAACCATCTTGTCCTAAGGTATAGCAGCGCTTCATAACATACAATCTTCGCGAACGTAAGAACCAACAGGAGACAAAATCTAGGGGTGAACGAATTATTTAACACGAGGACATAGTACAATGATAGATGCAACACAGGGGGAAAACCCAGAGCCATCCGTATCAAAAAGAAGAATTGTCTTCAATGTTCAAAGTTTTCCACACTCAGACAGCTACCACTTGATAAACTCCCACCATCCATCCATTCCAACCCATGTCTTATTCAATATCCGTTCCCGCTCAGCTATAACACCCACGAGAAAAATACAATAAAATAGTAAAATAAAGGAATTTTTTCAAATTGTATAAACAAATAAGAAAATCAACCAACTACAGCCTTCATACTCAGACTCTCAAGAAAGCCTCCCAAGTCCTCCTTCTTGACCTCCACAACAGAATGCTCAAAGCTGTCGATTCTCACGCGCGCACTCGTCTCAGAGACGACTTCTTGGAACGCATTCCCAAACTTGTTCAGGCCATAGCCTCGGTCATTTTCCGCATCATCATCATCCGCATCGTCTTCCGATTCTGACGATTCTGACCCTTCGGACTCCGTCTCCAGCTCGTCATCGTCGCCGTCATCATCGTTGGCGGCGGCCCGTCGAGCGGCGCGCTTCTCCTCTTTAATCTTTTCTTTCGCCTGTCGAGCCTCCTCTTTCTTCTTGGTCTTGGCGTCCTTGTTTGTCTGTCTCTCCTGCTTGGTCGCCCTATTCATAAAGACGGTATCTGGCCCACCGCCGCCACCTGTGCCAACGACAATGTAAACTCCGCGCTTCTCGTTTAAGCTTGCTACCACCAGGGGTGTTCCACGGCCGCCGTGAGATAGCTTTCCTTGTGATTCTTTTTCTTGCTCGGCCAACGCTTCTCCGATCCAGAGAGCTAGTTTTGTCAACGCCGCTGGGTGGGTAAAGAGAGCTACGTCTGGGCCATCCTTGACAACACACATCCGAAAAGCCCGAAGGTGCTTGATTTGCTTCTTGTTGATCAGTGATGTCCCTGTTCGGTAGATTGCACGGTGTAGGAATTGTGCGGTTGGTAGCCCAGCCTTCAGCGCATCGATACTATAAAATTTGTCAGTACAACATGTCTCTTCTTCCACAATTGTTTATGGATTTAGCTCACTTTTCCAACGCGTCATAAGCCTCCCAAAAGCGAGTAATCCACTCCTCGCCTTGGGCAGCTAGTTCCGACTCGTCCTCCATCTCCCGTGTTATCTGGCTCGGCCCTGGATTTGTCGCTTCTAGAGTTTGGGCATGTTTGCCCACTTCTAATAGCGCACCAATCACGACACCGACGTCTTGAGCACTGAGAGTTGCACGCCAGCCCCAACTTCGGACAAAACCCCATCCATCCTTGGCTCCCGCTCGATCTTTACCGTCAGTGTCGACCGAAGGAACCATCTCGTCGAGGTTGTAGAGAGACCCGTATTTTAGCAGTTTCGCTCTTAGCTCACGCTTTAGTATCATATCCATGTGAGTGTAATTCTGCTTGCACTGCGCCAGGCTGACCCCCATCTTGGCGAGAAGCTTGTGGAGTCGTTTGATACCCGATTCACTCCAGGTTTTTAGCCTAGAGAATAGATACGGCGAATGTAGCATGCTATCGTAGAGGCTCCAATGTCGAATCAGGAGAAACTTTGGCTCCGGTGAGAGACGGATCCCTGTGTCTTCAGGATTCCTCGCCGTGGTCGGTATGATGCCATTGTTTTCAGGGACTGCCTTTCCGTTTGCGACTTCTGGTGGATTCAATCTCCGGACCTCGTCTCGCAAGAGTTGCCGTAGACGAGCACCTCGTACGCCAAACCACCCCGATGGCTTCCCAGAACCTCCAGACCGAACAGGTGCAGCAACACCTGCTGACGACCTTCCATATAGCTCCATAGATGTAACGCCCACTATTGCAAGCCAAAGGAGGTCATTGTCATCGCGACCTAATTCGGAGGCTAACGAGTACATCATTGATGAGATGGGCTCGGCAAAAGACGAGCCCATCTTGTAGTATTGGTGCAAAACGGTCTCGTTTTCTCGTCGCATTCGTAGTAGTCGTTTTCTCAGAGAACGAGCTGAAGCGGCGGGCAAGGGTTGGGCCCCTGAAGGCGGCTCAACTGGATCGCTTGACAGTATCGGACCAGGATCTCGGATGGACAGCAGGCCCCTAGGCTCCGGTCGGGTAGGAGATCCGACTATCGAACTCGACTATGTGTATGCCTGGTTAGAATTGCTTTACAATGAATCAGCAGCACTTTGCTATTCTATACGTACGGAATTGCTTCTTCGCCGCTGGCGAGGCCGCGACTCATCGTCGTCGCTGGAATCATCTTCATTCAAGCTCTTCCTCTTTTGCCCCGCATGAGCAGACTCGTTGCCAAAATCCCCGTCATCCTCGTCATTGTCATCCTCGCTAGAGTTGTCGTCGTCGTCGTCGCCTTGCCCCTCAATGTCCGGCATATCTAGAAGCGCAAGGTATGCCTCGCGTTCCGTCGTGAGGTCGCCTTCAATGTCGCCATCGTCGAACACCACAATGCCACCCCTGCCCGAGTTGTAAGCCCGATCGATGGCTCCTCCTGAGACTCCAATTGGACTCCTCGACTTGTACGAGCTTGATACCTGGTTGACAGCTTCGAGTGGGAAGCCGCCGAAAACGTTGGCCAGATTCCACGGCCGATGCGCATCGAGAACCCAAACTTCAACGCCGCTGTAGGGAGATTCCTCGCCCTCGGGCTCCAGACCCAGCAGCGGTCCAAGGTCGACCATGCCTCCAACGCCGAGGCAAACAACGACGCCGCCACTGCCACCTTGCGACTCCATCATCGGGACGACAAGCTCCCTGCCAGCCTTCTCCAGGTCATTGTATCCCGCGACGGGCTGGATCTTGTGGGGAATATAGTCATGTTTGAGAAGGCGAGTGAGGATTCGGCATGCGCAGAGAGCGTCCGGCTCGAGGGCCACGAGGATCAATACCGGCGGAGAGAGAGGATGGCGAGTGTTTTGCAGATGCGAGTAGAGCTTCGATATCAGGGAACGCGGCAGATACATGGCTCGGATTGGCGATTCTGTATGTCTATATCAACACCCAATGGAAGCAATCTGTCAAGGATGATGGACTAGAAGCTAGAAAGCAAAGCTTTTGTGTCCTTTGTTTGCTGAATAGGAGACAATTGCCCGGCTCACGCGCCCAGATCCTGGCCTGGCCGTGACAGAAAAGGGAACCGGCGTCAGACACGGGCCGTCAAAGCGCATAGCACATGTAATCTAGGAGGGTTGTTTCAAGTGGAGAATCCGCAAAAGTAGAAACGAAGAATGAAGGATTTTAAAGAAGCAGATGCAGCATATCAATGCGAAAATAGACAAGACATAAGAAGAATAAAAAGGCTAGGAGCAAATAAAATGCTGAAGCTGAAGCTGATGTCGAGCTGCTGTAAGGCTAAGTAAGGCGACACACTCTATTTTTTGTTTGCTTTGCAGAGATCGATCTTGAAGCCCACGATGGCATGTTTTTGCGCTAGGAAACGCGTTTGGCCATTAAAAGCAGCGCCCACTGAATGACGCGCACCGCGACGAGCTTTAGCGGGAAGCAGCAATGGAGGGGTCCTCGACGAAAGTGGGGCATGAATGCGGAACGGCGCCGCGAAACTGGCAAAAGAATATCCGGTCCATAAAAACACTTTTCTGAACTGGTGCGAATAGACGGCATGTAAGTGAGCAAAATGTTGTGCATATGCCTGGACCCTCCCCGATTTTCCGTATCCACGTTGGTAAAGCTTAGTACTTTTTTAATTAGGTCCTACTTAGTTATTTGTCACTGTTTCCAGACCTATTGGGGAGAAAAACCCGCTGCCATGTCTCGCCGCTAACCTTTTGCTATCGCACTGCAGATGTATTGAATGCATGAAAAAGCGCCCTCCGATCTACATTAAACAACGAGGGCGCGCGGGGGAAAAAAGAGAAAGAAAGGAAAAAAATAGGCTCGATAGACACACTATCCACGAAGCAACGCAGATCTGCAGGAAAGTAAAAAAGAATAAATACCTGATACATGCGTCACCTGCCTCGGACCCAGCCAAAAAGGGATGGCCTACCCGTCCCGTAGCCCGTTACATTTCAAACGCCCTTTTTGTCCAAAATCTGACCTCAAGACCAAAATTATATCATATCGTTCTCATCTTCTGCAAGGCCAAATGTCCATCATTATCAACCAATGCAAGTAATATTGCTGGTATTGGGGAAACCGTGCTACGATAGATGTATTTCGGCCCGCTCGGCTGCCAAATAAATTAATACAGTCAGCATAATGTCTGGTATAGTCTACAGTCCAGTGGTGGGTTCATTTATTGGTCCATGGTATGGCACACGTTCAAAGTGGAAAAATATACGACAATTCAGTCTGCGGCTAAGGCCAATTATCCACACACTCTTCGGAGGACTTGAAAATGCGTGACTTTAGCGGATACGAGAGTACTCGGCGGGAAATCCGAGGTAAGGTGGTAAAAGTACTACCTGTGGCCTCCAGCTGTGGACTCTTGTTTTCCTGTAATCTTAAGACAGGCTTCCCATTTCCAGGATCGTTCACTCTTCCTTGGCCAGTGCTGGCTTCTTCATGACCACTAGGAAAGGACGGGCATCTCGGAATAGTTGAGGTAACTGGTGGCTCGTAGCCAAAGACGTTGAAGTAACAAGCTGTAGAGCTACCGTATTGATTTGTTATCGTACGACTCGTGACCATGTCTGGGAGGAAATTCATATACTACCTATTATCAGGCTTCTTAAAGGGGGAAGAGACGACCGATCTACTCCTTTTCCAGACTGTTCTAGCTTGCAAGGCATTATCCGAAGTGAGCATCTGCTAGTTAGTACCATATCGCGGCTCTCGCTATCCCAGTATCTTTCATCAAATACATAGTAGCTGGTAAGCCCAGATACATGTAGTACAATGATATGCGGCATGATACTGTCAGAAATATCCAAGAAAAGGCACCTTTCCGCTGAAACAAGAGGCTAAACTAATCATAAGGGTCATAATATCTGACGGACAAACACGAACCTCTACCAGCTGTGTGGTAAATGACGGCACCAGAGACCAGAGACCAGAGACCAGAGACCAGAGACCAGAGACCCTTTCGGACCCCCGCCCTTTCTCAGGGAGGGTGTGGATGGCTCCATTCAACGAATGGTACGATGTTGATGCTCGTGTGCGTTTCATGCACGCCCATGCGTTTGGGACTTATGCGCGGAAGACGGCAGAGAGCGCCTATAGCATGGGCTGGACAGGTTGCTGCTGACACCGAGGACAGGCAGCCGGGTCCTCCACGAATGTTTGATTTCTGACCCGGATGAGGGAAACATGTGAAAGCCAGCTCGTGCCTGCTGGGAGCGCAAATCAGTGCTACGAAAGAGGCGTCCGGCGCCAGCCACGCTGCACATCTGCCGGGATAGACTGCCTGGATGGATGGCTGGCTGGTCTTGTTTCATTCACCATGTCGGCGTCTACCCCGCCGCCAGCTTCAAAGCGTTGGGACTGGGATAGGGCCGGCTGCCGGCTGTAGCAGATCAGCCTCAGGTGGAAGCAGAAGGGTGGAACCCGGTGCTCTTAGCCGCGTGCTGGAGGGTCTGGCAGCGCCAAGTACGGGTACGAATCCGTCGTCTTGCGCCTGCAGCGACATGTTTGCTCCCACCAACGCCTGGAGTCCGGCTTCCAGAGTGCTGTTCCTCGCCCCGCAGCAGTTCCTTGCTGCTGTCTCGCCGGCGTGGTCGCCTGCCGCGCCGCCGGTACCAGTACGCCGTGCCTGCTGCAGTCGCATCGGGATGCCCTGTAGCGGTACACCCGACATTGCCCAAGGCTCGCGTAGCTGTTGCGGAACTGCCGAGTGCATCCAGGATGCCTCGCTTGGCGATGGATGTTGGCTCGTCGCTGTCTCTTTTGTTCCATCTGACCCCTCGCGCACTCGCAGATGAGATGAGATGAGATGACAAACACAAGACGAAGACGTCGTTTTTTCTCCGAGCCGAGAAAACCCCCGTCAGTCTCTACCGCCAGGCCGGTACGCGTTGGCTGCTCTGCCCTTCAGCTGGGTCGCACCGCCCGGAGCACCTTTTGCTGAGACAGACCCGGAGTGCAGCCACATTGCTTGCCGTAATGCGGACTTGAATTGTGCCGCGAATCGAGGAGTGTCCAATTCTGGCATCGACAACCGTGTCCGAGTGGTGTCTGGAGTGGCGCCGCCACGTCCTTGGACTGCTCACCGCCCTTATTCCGTCCGTAGCTTCGCAGCTCCTCAATTCTGTGCGGCCGAGAAAGGGAACCTGCCGGAACGCTGCCAGGGCCTTGCGTAGCGCCTAGACGCCCGCTCGTGTCAAGCTGTGGACTGCTGCCACGCTGGTTTTCCCGCCCCCGGGCCCTTTTCTCCCACAGAGGATGACACACCGCACCAGACTGTCGGGTCCGGCTGTTGAAATTTTTGTCTTTTTTTTTTTTTTCGGAGAGGGGGGTGCGCACAGTTGAGCCAAGCGGCGTTAGGCCTGCACTGCTGTTAATTTAAAAACAAGACGACCTCGCCAGCCTATGCAGGACGGCGTTGTATCAGTATCATTGGCACTGGAGCAATAAGAACGGCCACTAGACTCGCCTATTTGCTTGTAGCCCTGGTGGCTGCAACGGATGAGTAGGTAGGTCCAAGTATTACACCACCGCTAAGTCGGTAGACTTGCTCAGGACAAGGCGCCCAGGGGAGCTTGGCGATGGTTTTGGCTTGGCGACAAACTAGACGGCGCTACATGGCGTTGGCTGCGGCTCTCTTTGACTCTTTCTTTGACTCTTTGGCTCTTTGCCTCTCGCGCTTGTTCGTTTGCCCACGCCCTGCCTCTTGGTAATTATCGATACCTATGATGTTGATCCTATGTCTTGTTAGCAAAGTCCCTGGCAGGGCGCATTCGCACTAGGTCGGAACAGTCGTGCTCCATTCACGCACTTGTAGAAGTACTTACTGTATCAATCATCCAAACAGCCACCGACTAATGCACTGTATTAGCGGACCTGAGAATGTTGTTGGACGGTGGCCCGCGCTGAGCTGCTAAGCGGAACGGTCCACTGCCTTAGCCATGCAATGAGCTGTTGCGACGCGCATGATGGAGTGCACACCATGGCATCATTAGTGGCCCAGCAGCTAGCTGCTCTCTGACACTCCTTGTCAACACTCATCATGATGCTAACTAGCCGGTTGCGGCGTCTCTGCCTCTGGTGCGTGGCGTTTCGGTGTCTCGATGCTCCTCGATGCTTCTTTCAAGTGCCAGGCTCTTTTGACAAAGCAGCATTGGAAGCCAAGAGCGCAAAGGAGCTCGCTCGGTTAGCAGCCGCTCGCATCATTTACACCGCCGTAGTCGCGGCCCACGCAAAGGCGGTCGGTAGCTGTGCCCTCCAGCAACGAGGCAGGAGCTACCTAGGTATACTAGGCAAGTACTTGTACCTACATTAGTACCGCCAGGCTGGGCTACCGCACTTCCAACGGTGAGCAGTTCCTTCCTGCACATACATAGATACTATTAGTATGCAATGCCTCTGGGATACTGGGTTAGAGCGCTCCTGCTGAGACTATAGTCGGCATTAGTGCTCGCCTTGACTGCTCTTACTTGCCTGGGATTCTACCAATCGAGAGACGGCAGGAGCTCACAAGGAGATGTATTCTAATGTAATGGGGTCGGGGCGCAATAAAGGCGTTGGGGCACCTCTCACGTACACAGCAGGTATATTCCTCTCTTCGGCTCATCGCATCGGAAGATTTTCTTTGGCCGTGAAACGACACAAGTCCACACCAGGTCCCGTCAGGACTGATGCCTTAGTGTCTCAGACCCAAGGTACTGCCTGCTCGGGCCAGGCTGCCTGCCCCTCTTGTAGCGGTCATTCCCGGTACCTCCCAGGTACAAATGCGCACTCATTACGTCTTCCAAAGGCCTTCCCTTGAATGGACCGTCGACCAGAACTCGCCATGCTGCCAATTAACTCCGCCGCTGCATGCCATTGCCGCCCAGATATTCCCGCTTCTGGCATCTTCTGGGCCTGCTTTGGCGGCTTGCTTCAGCCACGGGAGCGCCACCAACATGAAGCTTGCACCTCCACGGACTGCATCAGATATGCACTCCATGCCTGCTAGCAGTCATGCTCAGAACCCTGCGAGAAAGGCCTTCGACTGCTGCTAGAGGCCCCCGCCTTTTCCTCGTCGTCTTTGGCCGCTTTTGCTCTTCTCTCGCTATGGCTCCGGCTGCTCTCCCTCCCTTCCCAATCCGCCGAACGGTCTCAAGTCCCGACATGACGGCGGCCCAGGAATACGGAACCTGCTAAGAAAATCCAGCCACTGCTCTCCACCCCGCTATCACGTCCCAGATCGCTGGCTACCGACGGCCAACGCACATATCACAGCCGAAGCCTATTTGCCCTGGAGCCACGCCCTCTTTTTCGCTTTTGGCGTGCTCTGCTCCACGCCCCCAGGAGGGTCCTCTTTGCGCACATGCCTTGAGGTAGCAGTACCAGTACCAGTACCTCCAGCCTGCAGCAGGGGACCGTGCCTGCGCATGTACAGCTAAAACTGAGCAGACTCCCACCGTCTGGCCTGCCAGAGCTCCGTCTCGACTCTATCCTCACGACTCTGGCTCTGCTCAATTGCCACATCTCCTTTTCCCGTCCGTCATCCAGCACCTCTTCTGCTCGACTCCCGGATCCCTGCCGCGGGCCCGGCCCTTGACTGCCAGCGCTGAACCTTGTCTGACGCCGCACCGCACCGCCTATAAGAGCTGTCAGGGCAGTGCTTATGTGCTTGTCTGACCCTCCATCCCAAGCCGCTGGGAGAGCGACCTAACACGCACAGAGGCTCTGGATTGCCACGAGCGCCTCGCATTGGCCAGCAGGAAGCCCTTGCCTCGCCGGGTCCCATCCTAGAGTGCCCACCGACCCGACCGGTGACGCTGGATCCAGCCTACTGGGCCTCTAGGACATTGCATTTGGTGTGTTTCTGTCTTGTCTGTGTGTGTATAGTGCGCGTGTGGTTTTCTGGAATCTGCGCCCTTCTCCGTCCGTGCCAAATTTCTGCTTCCGGCTCGGGTTCTCGTTTCTGGGGGCGTGGCTCATTTGCGTTCTTATGGTACCATAGCCAATTTGATCGAGGCACCCTTTCAGCCCTCTTTTTCCCTCCTCTGGCAGGACCACCCACTTCTGCGAATCATTCTTGGAGCTTTCCACTTCAGTCTCAAATTAGATCGACCTTGGCTCCCTAAACCAGAGGCGCTCTACTCATTTCTCTTTCTCACTCTTTCCCTAGTAGGCATCGTCTTCAGTCTTCTGATCGACGGGCTCGTCTGCATCTGCATCTGCGGAAACTGGAAACTTCAACTGGCTTGGGAACGCCTTCACAGCTCACACGCTTCTCTGAAATTCTCTCCCTTTTTTCTACCCCCCGCCCACTCCTCTCCACCGGTTTTTGCCTTCGAGGCTCTTTCATTGTATACACTAGGCGATCATGAGTAACCAGGGGTCGGGTGGCGATCACCACGGCTCGAGCGAGGACTCGACGTCAGACTATGCCGACAGCATTGACTTTTCTGAATTCACATCCATCGACACCGCTCAGATGGTTCACAGATACCGAAATGGCAGGTATGTCATAGATGAATCTCCGATACACTGCCGCCACCTGTAGATGACAACAGGAAGAATGAAAAACAAGAAGCCAGGTCAAGTTGATGAATGCTAATCAGTAGCTAGACGGTATCAGGGATGGTTTGAGGGACGATATGGGCTACCAAACGACGACACAGAACAGGGCCGTGAGCACCTCAAGCACAGGGTCTACTCGGATTACCTCCTCGGCGGCGAATTCTTCATCTCACCGATCGGCAGCAACCCCCAGAAAATTGTCGATTTGGGCACCGGCGCTGGATTTTGGCCTGTTGACGGTTCGTCAAGAGCTATTCCATATTCATTCATGCATCAGCTAACATAATTACAAAGTGGCTGAGAAATACCCTAGTGCTCGTGTCATTGGAAGCGACATTTCAGCTATTCAGCCTCCCTGGTCTCCGCCAAATGTTGAATTTCGGGTAGAGGATCTCGATGACGAAAACCATCCTTGGACGAGGATCTACGCCGGTGCCGACCTTATCCATACCAGATCAGTCATACAAACCGTTCGCAACCCCGAACTATTTCTCCAAAGAGCTTTCGAGTAAGATGATGATGACTCCCCGTCTTTACCTCTTCCGCGTATAAGAGAAGAGAGTATTCTGACCAAACACTATAGGAATTTGAAACCGGGCGGGTGGCTTGAATGCCACGATCTTTTTATACCTCTGATGTACGAAGACGGCACTGTAGCAACAGATCATCCCGTTCAGCGCCTATATGACCTCGTAAACGACGGACCATTCGCAAGACGATATGGCTGGCAGCTTTACCTTCCCCCGAGATTGCCGCAAATTCTTCGAGACATGGGCTTCGTCAACATTCAAGAACAGCATACACCAATCCCCGTTGGCAGATGGTCGCGGCGCTCAAGAGACAGGGAAATGGGCATGTTCAACCAGGACAACCTCATCGACTGGACCGCGGCCTTGCTCATCAGGCACGAAGATTTGGGAATATCAGAAGAAGAAGCACGACAGCTTTGTCAGGAGACTCTTATGGCCATGGACAACAACAAAATCCATGCTCTGCTCGACTGGGGGGTTGTCTGGGCACAGAAGCCTCTATGATGGCGTTGCTGCCTTGCATAAATGTGATGTGCACGAGACATCAGTTTACGCGAAAAGACGACAGAATCAAAAGAACAAGGAATATTGGATGAAAGAGCCCGCAGAGTGGCGTTGATGAGAGGCAACACTCCTTGTGGTATAAAGTATTGGATGCCCTTCTCTATCATGCGTTTAATGATACAATGGTTTCTTCTTGGAAAGAGTCTTTCATTACGATAAATGACGACGCCATCTACTCTTGACTACATATTACCTCATTCGCTGCACATTTCCTCCCTTTTCCCCTGACCAACACAATTTCTCACAACTCTACCACCTACCACCTCATCACTCGCATACGACGCATCTAGGAAAATAATTGCATCATGGGACCGGAAAAAACAACGCAAGAATAAATCAAAAACATATTGGGGGTTAATGGGAAGAACCACGGCGCTGGCTCGGTACTTGGGAAGCGGACAAAGGTCGGCAAGGGCTGCATCATCCTGTTTTGGCAATTTCCTTGGGTAGTATCTAAAGAAGGGCAGATATCCACTTTTTTTGCATTTTTTCCCGTCTTCTTTCACGTCTGGATCTTGAATAACGAAAACGGGCATTTGATGGTTGTTAATGGGCTGGGTTTTTTCTTTCTTTTTTCTTCCAACGTCTTGGCACAAGGAGACCTGGCATGGCTTCTGGGTGCGAGTTTATGGGGGGATCTCCCTGAGATTAGGTCATATGGAAAGAGGTGGGATGGTTGGGTTGCAATGTGGCTGCTTGGAGGCGAACCATTATGCCTTCTCATGCTTGGGCCGCCACAGAGGCAGATTCCGATAACCGTTGGACACCAAGAAAAGAGCGGGTGACCGGGAATGTTGGCAGTTACGGTGTAGATGCTGCCAAATGTCTCGTCACGAAAGAGTGATCTGGGAACAGGCCAACCCTGGCTTCGACACCCTGGTCTGACGACTTGTCCTATCTTGTCTCTGTTATCCACTTTGATACTCTGTTTTGAACACCGCTGTCTTTGATCCGCTTCTCTTTGCAGCAACGAGGCGGCCCTGTCCAAATTCAATGTCGTCAACTTGCGTTTGTAAGCCTCTGCAACCCCATGCAGTCAAGCCTCCGTGATTCTCTCTCTGTTCCCTTTGCCTTTTGTTCTCTCTGCTCACATGCACACCGATCGGATATCGCGCAACGTCCCTTGCTCCATCCGCACTTTTGCACAGGTGCAATGCATTAGCCGCCCATCGAAGGGGCGCCCCCAGATCAGAGTCAGGCGAAGATCTCGTATGTCCACCACACGATTCGGTACTGCATGTACGCATGGGATGGCCGAGACTAATGGGGAGGCGGCGGCGATGACATGACCCGATCAGTTTTGTGGCGGAGATATGGTTCCAGTACCCTTGTCAAATATATTTTATTCTGTATCTTGTTACTTTTGCTCTTGCTCTGTAGTGCTTGGGTATGACTAATGCTTCATCCTAATAGTATATAATATCAACTGCTACTAATTTCTCTATTCTTCTCTCTTCTCTCTGACCTCCGATTTTTATTTACATACCCTTAGTCCTTAAGAAAGGGTTAGCGGGCGTTAAATTTTAGTATTTTAAGTGAGTGAGTGATGTGATGGGCATTAAGTGTATATGTGATATATGCAGAGCGAATGTTGATATCAATTTGGTATTTTGCTAGCAGTCAAGGTATGTTTATAGACATGTAGATGCCCGCTTATTCATCTGCTGGTCTAAAAAGGACAAAAAATGCAATCCGCAAAAACCACCGCATATCAACTTGATGTCAAGCTGCAAATGCCTCTTTTGGTGTACTTTGATGCGTATATGCCGATGAGTCGGTGTTTTCCAGAACAAGCCAAAGCGTTGCAATGGGATAAATACATGGACCCGTTTAGATAACCCCCGCTCTAAACAAGCACCTAGAACCAACAGCATCCCTTCTTTTGCTCTCTCTCTAACCAACTGGTTATCTGTGTACAATAATCATCTACCAGTACTAGGTAGAGCTAGTTCTTACATTCCCTGCATCCCTTTTTTCACTAGGTTACGGCTATTGCGACGGGCATACCGCGCAACCCGTAAAA